TGTTCGAAATGGGAAAGGCTTGTTTTTCGCGGCTGGGTACTGAAAGCGGGCCAACAAGAGGGCCGAAATGCCATCGGCCAAACACTTTTCGCGCGTTTTCGACGACTTCGTTCGAACGAAAACAATTGGCCCGATGGCAAAGAGACTTATCGCTTGATAAATGTCGGATCCTTTGTACGCTCCACGCGGAAGGGGTAATTAAGTGGTTTTCTTAATTATTCAGTTCAAAAGTTTCTGTGGGTGCGTTCTCCATTCGAAAGTTCGCTAGGGAAGGAAACGTTAGAACAGTACGAGCTTCTTTTATTTCCTTAACCCGTCGTCCATAGGCGTTACCGACCAGAGGACCCCATAAATTCATAGCTGTCCATCAAAAATATAAACTGGCCAAAAATGCGAATATAAACACGTAAACCGACCCTCCGAAAATGCGGAATAGCCCTGTAAACAGGGAACCCTTTGTAATACAAATTGGGCCTTAAAGTCACAATCAACCCCCGTTAAACGCAGCCCCCAAAAATATTTACGAGTGATACAAAATAGCTCAAACGGTGAATTAGTACCTCAAAATTACCTTCCCTAAAATGTGAACTTTTTCAACGAAAATGATTAGCAAATCTCGAATGTTGTAAATACCACCCCCAGTAGTTACACAACACTGCTCCGTTTCATCTTAACGGGAAAGCTAGAATTCATCCATTAGCGAGTAAAAAGGGGTGATGGAAAGGGTGAGCACGTGGCGACGTCTGTTCCCTATTTTTCAATCAATCTCACCCGCATCCGAAAGGCTTCCGGTTTTCCTGGCAAACGACGCGAAGGAACGCCTTTGTGCTCCAACGGATTCCGCTGCGCGGTTTCGCGATCGTTCCAACGACGTTTAATTAACTAATCATCGTAAGGAAAACGGAATATCTGAGCCATGGTTCGCGGTAACTGCTGAATCCATCACAACCGCAAATCGTGCGAGTACGCCATAGACTCTAGAGGTCTACGTAAATGATTGTCGTATCGTGGAATCGAACGGCGACAATTAACCATATTAGACTATCTTGAAATTTAACGCTAGAAATATAAAAAAATTTATGATGGTTAAAGGAACCTCGTTAGGTTCAAAAGTTAGTTAAAAAATCATAGTTACTCTTCACCGACCCTCGGTCGGTCCGAAGTGCTCTCACAACCCGAAGTCAAAAGAGGAAACTGACAAATCGCGGTTGGCTTCGATGGAGAAACAAAGGAGGATCGAAAGGGTCGTGAAAAAATGAAAGAGGCAGAAAAGAAAAGCATTATCGTAGTCAAAGTGGTCCGGTCAGGGCTCTTTAACGAGATCATTGTCGACGCTGACTGGTAGGCAAAAAAAAAGAAAAGTGTTTCAACGTATGTACAGCCAGGTACTAGTCGGCACTCGATTCCTGCCATTGTTTGCGCGGAACGGGTTGAAACAATGTCCACTTCGGGCACAACAGTGCCTCTCCTTCGAATGATATAATGCACTTAACTGTTTTGCAATGGCTGGACGTTGGGATACTCGACGTGGCTGTCGTAAATGGAAAAGTGGCATCCCGAGTAGCGCCAACGGAGAATCGTAGAGAAGGGAAATGGGGGTCGAGGGGGTGGCACGAGAAACGAATTCGTTTCCTCTCGACTCGATTGCATTATTAAAGCGTCGTCCTTTGTGCAACCTTGTCACTTCACCCTGAAAGAACTCGATAGTTCCGGACAGTTGGTTCGGATCCACGAAACGTTTCGATAGATTCCTCGGTGGCATATGTCGTGACTTATAAATTTATCGCGGATGTTGCGTGCAATATTTCCATATTTACCAAGCGAGAAAAATAGGGGGAAGAATATCATCGGTATGAAAAGAATGCAAGCGTTTAAAGAACCCTTAATACGCGGAGCGTCTCGAGTTTCTCCCTCTTCGCGGAAGACCGTTTAAAAACGTGAAACCGTGACCGAGGGTTGGTCAAGAAGTCGGACCGGAAGCGGCGGGGTGAAAAGTAGTTCTCGCCGGGGAGTTATCGGTACGCGAGAACGCATAAGAGCACGTATAATGTACATACAGAGTAGGCGAAAGCGAGCGAGTAAGGGGCGGAAAAAGGAGAGAGAAAAGTGCGCACCCTACTGAGGAGACAGGCCAACAGAGCCAGCGGGGTTTCTTAGGGTGAAAAGAGTAAAAAGGTCCCCGCGCCGATACAATTGGCCTCTAAACAGAGGGTAGTTATAGCGAAACGCAATGCCCATTGGGGTGACGCGATAAACGAAGAGGACAGATCGTCTCTCCCGCTCTCTCCGTTGCACCCCATAATAGCAAAGGGTGGTCACCTTCCACCGAATCAGGGCGAGACTTTTTCAATGCACCGACCGAACGTGCATAGAAGAAGAGAAAGAAAAAAAAGAAGAAATAATAAAGAGTGTATACACGCGAGAAGGGTGCACGACGAGAGGTGCCGTTTGACGAGAACCTGACGTCTACTCCGCTGCTTCTTTCTCTCCTTTTATTTCCCATTCTACCGGGGCTTTCAATGGCCGCCAGCTTCTCCAGTGTCGCGAGAGGAAATTCGAGGTTACGAATTTCGTTTCGGGACCTGGCGTCCCGTCATTGTCCTGCAGCTGCCGAGCTCGCCGTGCGAATCCCACCTCGCCCCTTGCACCGATCTCGATCTTGATTCCCGATCGCTTTAGATTCATTCGATACCTGACACTCGATCGATCTCCTCCACGGACTTACAGCGGATTTCGAGCGAATAGTATCCATCTTGGCTGACACCGCGAGGCGGTTGGCGCAGGGGTTGAAATGAGTTTCCAGGAACAATCGCCGGTGCACTTTGTTCTTCTACCCATGTTTCTTGTTCACCTTTCCCTCCTTTCATGAAGTACTGTTTCTCAATATTCTACGACTTCGTTATTTTTTCAGAATGTTCTTTCATTACATTGGCTAAATGGAGGTGTACGATACACGGTTCAGAAATTGTAATTTCTTTAAAAATGTAGACGTGTTACTATTGTTGAAGCGGCAGAGGGTGAAAATGATAGAAAGATATGAATTAATGAAATTCATAGAGTCATTTATTACTTTGATTCGTCGATGATAATAATAAATATATGCACATATACGATAAGAGACAATTGTTCCTTTTTTCTTGTTTCGTCGATTCTGTTCGGTCGTTTAAGAGTACAAAGATCCATTCAGTAATCAAAGAGATAAACAGAGGTGTAAAATAATAGCATCTTTTGAAAGCACGAGTTAATTTGAAATTGTTGGAGTTTAGAAATGTACAGCGAATTCTCTGAAATATTTTTAATGAACCTCTCTTCGTTTAATGAATGATCCCCGTAGCTCGATATCGAGCCTCGCATTTACAATAAAATTCGCTCGCTTAAAGTTTTCTACATCGTTCAATGAACACGCCCTTCGCGTTACACGATCGCTGCCATAAAACAAATAACAATTTATCGATAAAAAAACGAAACGTAACGTACAAACCTACGCGTCATAATTTTCTTGTTCGTTTCTACGGACTAGCGTTTTTCCACGAATTCTCAGACAACATGGATACTTGTGCACAAATAGTGTATATATACATATAGATACATATTCGCGTGTGCAAAACAAGAAAGGATACAAGAGAAAAACCTGAACAGCGAAAACAACGTTGACAAACAAAAAAACAAATTCGCTAGACGCGATTATTCTCCATAAATAATAATCTTATACACGGTGCAACAATGGTCGCGTGCACGCTTGCGTGTGTGTGTGTGTGTATGTATGTATGCTCTAAACGTTAATGTTGATACAACAAGAGGTACGAGGCGACTTTAAAATCTACGAGAAAACGACACGTACACGTGGATTGGTTGCTTTGAAACCGCGAACGCTTGTTACGACGTAACGAAATCACAGTTAACGACTTGGTCCATTTACATTCGGACCACGGCGACGAAAATGCTTTCGAAGAAGAGCTTATCGTTAGTAAAATAGCGTTGCGAAATCGTCAGCAGAAAATGCTTCGAGAAATTTGTCTCGTCGATATATATAAAATGTCCCACCATTGTGCACGTACTTTTGTCCACAAACGCTGAGACAAGTATAACAAAATTATTCTGAAACGTTCGTTTCAGAAGTCCCTACTGAGATATCCAGATACTCCAGCGATAATGCAAGTCATTTTTCGATACAGCAAATGCTCCTACTTACAATTAAAAACAAAACAAAATTATCCTAATTTACATCGAGACATTACACTAAAAGATAAAAGTGCAATAATGTTCGTTAGTCAGATTCCTCGAAACATTTCCCGCTCGTCGCTCGAAATTCTACTTTCAGGGACAGACCAACGCGAAAAATCGAACTCGCGGTAAAATTTTGAACCTCGAGTACGCGCGGCACTCGAATCGTCCACGGATTAAACGCGGAGAGTATCACATACGAGCTGCCTCTGGAGTGCGTACCGTTTGGTGTTGGACGAAACACGGTCGTTCGTTAAAGAAACTTGAAAAGAGTCCCCGAAATTCGAGCATCAGCTTCGTTCGGAAGAACGAGCGTTGCTCGCCCGTTTGTGGGCGGAAGCAAGGCTTAACCCAGACCGAACGAGCCATTCCACCAGAACTAGTCCTTAACCTACGCCGATTGTGTATTACGATCTATTTACATTCGTACAAACGATATATTAAAACGAACGGTTAACGATGCCCGAGAGCCAACAATTTCGCCTGGACAAGATGGACACGTATGTAGGTGAAACGGTCGGAACAATGCATTGTAAAACTGTTCAGAATGTTTCTCGGATCAGAAACTGTTGAAGTGTGGGTCTCGGTTACTTGTGAGGCGGGAGATGATTTTGGGTGGGGCTATTTATGAAATTTTAAGAGCTTTGGAATCATGGAAATTTGGGAATTTTGATCTTTTGGAAACCGGACTATCAAAAGTGGACTCTAAAGTTGGAGAGACCCAGTTCGCTAACTTTCTCTAAGCCAGTACCTGGCGAAGTCCAGGCGACGGAAAAGGCACATCCGCAATTATAAAATATTATTTGAAAACAATAGTTTGTAGCTCCCGCAGGGAGAGGACGGTTCCCCGTCTAGGGGACAGCGCGTCGCACAATGAAGCCCATTCAATAAAGCAAAACGAATGCGGTCCTAAACGACTCTTTTGTTCCAACGCATTAATATGCTAATTCAATTATCCGCGTGGTTGGCGGCGTGGCTTCCCCGAACGGCGGTCGATCCGCGATCGGCCTGGGTCAACCTTGAAGGCCTATCTCACTTGCGACCGCCTCCTCGGACATTCGGCTACAAAAGACCCGAACAAACTTCTCACGGAGAGTGCCTGCTGTCGGCTGTCGAGCATCGCGAATATAAATACAACATCGTCCCGCGTGCACTAAATGCGTCCCTAGGGACGTGGTTCTCGACGCGAATCCCTGAACGAAAAGCGTTTCGAACTTCCCGGCTCGACGAGTGTCCTGAACTATCCGGATCTACGAGTCTAGAATATCACGGAGACGGGTCTGCGCAGTTGCTCGAGGTCCAGAGTCGTCGAGGTGGTCGGCGTTGGCACCTGCTGATGGGACGACGGGATCGGAGTGGAGCCTGGACTGCTTCCCGGGCTGCTGGTGGTGGTGACGATGCTTCCGGAGCCGGTGGCCGAGGAGGACGGGAACATCAGAGGCGGATGCGGCGCCGTCGTGTGATGGAAGCCACCTGGACTCATGGAACCTGCCTTGCCCGGCACCACGGACACCGGCACCTTGGGTTTCCTTCGTGGACGGTACTTGTAGTCGGGGTGCTCCTTCATGTGCATGGCGCGCAGACGCTTTGCCTCGTCGATGAACGGCCTCTTCTCGCTGTCGGATAACAGCTTCCACTCGGCACCCAATCGTTTCGATATCTCGGAATTGTGCATCTTCGGATTATCCAAAGCGATCTTCTTTCGTTGAATACGCGACCAGACCATGAAGGCGTTCATGGGCCTCTTGATGTGTTGCTCCTGCGACGACGCCGTCTGTTGACCGGCCACGTTCATGTCCTGGCTCACGTGGTGCACAGAGTGCAGGTCCATGCCCGAGAGGAACCCGTAGCCCGGGTGTTGTTGATGAGAGCTCATCATTGTCACAGCCTGTGTCGATGCTCTTTCGATTCGATCACCTTTCAGGGGTTTTCGTTCGGCAAACTTGTCACACGCGCGCGAGCGGACGTTCGTCGCGCTCGATTAGCGTCCCTGTCCTCGCGGGCATGCACTGATCGATGTCGTCGTCCGAATGATCGTAACGAGTGGAACACCGGATCGGAAAAAAAAGAAAAAAACCGTGTTGACAGCGAATCACGAGTCGTTAGAGAGCGCGGCAAACGGTCGAACGTGCTCGAATGGAGTGCCGGTGTCGACTGAGCGTGGACTGCCTGTAGGACCGGTCCACGACCTGCTGGAGGGATCCATTCTTCCTCTCTCTTTCTCTCTTCGTTTTGCAGCTCGATTATCCTTGTCAGGCTGGATTTCGAGGGCGGAACCGACGCGGAGCGTCGTACGCCGCGCCCACGAACCGACCCTCTTCACGCTATTCGTCCAAGTTGCTTCGGTGCACGCGGTATATACCTTTTCTACCCTTTCTCCCCCACTAAGTAACACCGAACCAGCAACCCCTCTGTACCACATCGAACTAAGGAGGGCTGCTGCTGCTGCCTCGGAGACCGCGAGCTGCAATTATTATTATCGATTACCTCGATACGATGAAGTACAAATAGCGTATAGGCTGCCCGTTATTGACTACTTCTGTTCCTGTACCGCTTTGCACGCCACCAACGGCGCGATTTCGCGCGATAATTGGTTACGCTCGATCCCACCCGCGCGACCCTTCTGCTCCGACGCGCTGTCGAGAGAACCCGACTAGGATTCTTCGGCTTCGAGCTCCGCGATCTTCGATCGGATTAGGTCCTTCGCTCGCGTCTTACACCCACGCTCCGATAACCTCGATACACCCGAATCTCCGACAGGGGGTGGAAATCACAGTTTCGAAACCACTTGTTATTTTTCTTTTATTTATTATACGCGTCGACAATTTGTTCACTAGTTTCAACAAAACTTTTCCTTTTATTTCAGCCGAAGTACACTAGAGGGCGAATAGGTATTAGATTCTTCAAAACTTTTTTAATTCTAAGATCTGATGAAAAATCTCGTCTCATAAAAATGTAAAAATTCTTTGACTAAGCAAATCCTTGATCCGATCAAGAAGACGAATTATTAACACGATTTTTTGGCGAGAGCACGGGTGACTAATCCGAGGTCATTTCGTGGAGTAATTAATCAGAATTCGCATTCGTTGGCGTCCTTCTTTTCTCCGTAGAAACAATGATGGGCTGAAATCTGCCGGTTCCTTTCCTGTGGGAAATCTCAGGAACAATGCAAAAAATCTCTCGACGACAGGCACTTGGATTAGAATGGAAAGCAACAGCGGAGAAAGGAGCGAGCGGTGCCCCTTTCCCAATCTCGACTCACCGCGCCCTCCACTCCCAAAGGACATTCAGCAATGCGAACGAATAAAAGCTCTCTCTCTCTTCTTCTCTCTGTCCCTCTCTGTTGCCTGAACTGCATTAGTCGTTTGTGCTTTTGTGTCGCGAACGCGCGTACGCCGCGGTGTCTCCTTACTCTTCGATTTCCAAATAATCGATTAAGCTTTCTGCGTCTTCGAACGAAATACTGCTCCGTTCACGACTAACATTTTGGTACTTTGCTTTAGAAAATTACTATTCTCTCTTGGTGATTGAAAGTGCAACAAAAGTTTGTCGACTCCTTTGTGAGTTATCGGTGAGCCTCAAAAATCTGTTCTCAAGGTATAATATTAAATTGAATTTTTGACAGACATAAAGTTGTCGATCCGTCGAATAAAATATCCCCGTCGGACAAAACGTCGCTATCAAAATCTCTTTCCATTTAAAATCGTCTATCGTGTACGTCGGGGGTGAGAGCGTAGCCAATAAGAGAACCGTAAACAGAGGGAGGAAACGATTAGAGCGCGAAAAAAAGAGGGAAAAAATGCGGAGCCGGACTCTTGCCGGAGAGAAGAGTAAAAAAATCCCCGTCGATGGATGGTCGCCATTCCGTCAGCTCGGATTCTGCGAAATACGTGCACGTCCGAGCGGGCGCACACAAGTCTCGCGGGCTACGAATACACCCCTGCTTCTCTATGCAGTTGGGTGCAAATTGGTATTGAAAAATCTCGAAGTCAATTAAAACTCGAGGTACAAAGGATTTGGCGAGACAAAATACCAATTATCTCGTGTCCTCCTACTCCGCCTCCTCCGGTATTAGATTCTTCAAAACTTTTTTAATTCTAAGATCTGATGAAAAATCTCGTCTCATAAAAATGTAAAAATTCTTTGACTAAGCAAATCCTTGATCCGATCAAGAAGACGAATTATTAACACGATTTTTTGGCGAGAGCACGGGTGACTAATCCGAGGTCATTTCGTGGAGTAATTAATCAGAATTCGCATTCGTTGGCGTCCTTCTTTTCTCCGTAGAAACAATGATGGGCTGAAATCTGCCGGTTCCTTTCCTGTGGGAAATCTCAGGAACAATGCAAAAAATCTCTCGACGACAGGCACTTGGATTAGAATGGAAAGCAACAGCGGAGAAAGGAGCGAGCGGTGCCCCTTTCCCAATCTCGACTCACCGCGCCCTCCACTCCCAAAGGACATTCAGCAATGCGAACGAATAAAAGCTCTCTCTCTCTTCTTCTCTCTGTCCCTCTCTGTTGCCTGAACTGCATTAGTCGTTTGTGCTTTTGTGTCGCGAACGCGCGTACGCCGCGGTGTCTCCTTACTCTTCGATTTCCAAATAATCGATTAAGCTTTCTGCGTCTTCGAACGAAATACTGCTCCGTTCACGACTAACATTTTGGTACTTTGCTTTAGAAAATTACTATTCTCTCTTGGTGATTGAAAGTGCAACAAAAGTTTGTCGACTCCTTTGTGAGTTATCGGTGAGCCTCAAAAATCTGTTCTCAAGGTATAATATTAAATTGAATTTTTGACAGACATAAAGTTGTCGATCCGTCGAATAAAATATCCCCGTCGGACAAAACGTCGCTATCAAAATCTCTTTCCATTTAAAATCGTCTATCGTGTACGTCGGGGGTGAGAGCGTAGCCAATAAGAGAACCGTAAACAGAGGGAGGAAACGATTAGAGCGCGAAAAAAAGAGGGAAAAAATGCGGAGCCGGACTCTTGCCGGAGAGAAGAGTAAAAAAATCCCCGTCGATGGATGGTCGCCATTCCGTCAGCTCGGATTCTGCGAAATACGTGCACGTCCGAGCGGGCGCACACAAGTCTCGCGGGCTACGAATACACCCCTGCTTCTCTATGCAGTTGGGTGCAAATTGGTATTGAAAAATCTCGAAGTCAATTAAAACTCGAGGTACAAAGGATTTGGCGAGACAAAATACCAATTATCTCGTGTCCTCCTACTCCGCCTCCTCCGTCGTCCCTTCGGCACCCATCGCCACCCTGCGAGGGGGATTGGGTGGTGGGTGAATCGGGTGACTAGGGGGGCGGTGCCGGGGGGACCGAGGACGCTTACAAGAACTCAATTCCATTAAGCATTGAAGTGAGTAAAACGAGGCAGCTTAGTGTGGATGGGCGCCTACACGGTTGCTCAAAAGTATTTGCTCGTTAATAATCATTTATAGAAATCGATTATCTACTTCTCGAGATGAATTGCAAAAGTAATTCCATAACAAACACATATGCGACTGTATACGCATGACGTCCCAATAAAATGGATGCCCACTTATTATTGTGTATTTTCATAATTAAGACAAAGATTAAATTTTTCATAAATTGAAATCTCTGAACTTTGTTTAAAGGGTTTGAACCCTGAACCTTGTGAAAAGTATCAGACACATAGCTCGCAAATACGGAAAGATACAAAGGAATAAATACATTTGAGTCTTAGCGTATATACCGTAGCTCGCACCTCGGTTATCTACCTAATAAAGGTTCGAGTGTCACCCCCGTCCCGCCACCCCATTCTCCAACATAAAGCATGTGCCAGCGAGGTGTTTGTGAGACAATCCCTCGGGATGACAATGCTTATCTCGCGTATGAATGGCAGCGATGCTTCCTAGGTAATTTAAGTATAGCCCCACGCGATAGATACACCCCAATAGCCACCCTCTCTTTTCACCACCTTGCCATCCACCTTCAGCCATTCGAGGCTGCGGCATATCTTCGGGTTTGCACGTATGAAAACCCGTTGTCCTCGTTTAATGATTGCCATTAGCGACCAAATCTTTTCGTAGCCCTCATCCCCTTCCGTTGAACCAACCACCACCCCTTTCCCGGTCGCTGTGAATCTCGAATGAGTTGGAGAGATCCGTCTGGGGACTCTGTGTCGAGGTTTTTGTGTCCTATCGAGCTATTGCCAAGGTCGATCTCAATGGAAATGCCGCGAGAATCGTGGGGATCAGGACAATGCCGACTTTTGTTCCACCGGAGATTACGATTTCGAGAGTGCAAGCTCGCGAATGCGTTTTCGCGTCGCTCGCGGCTCATTTTTCTTCCTCGCCTTCGACCTCCATTTGTCCTGCTTTACCGAAGCACGCTGATAAAAGGTAAGATCAGTCCTGATATAGTTACCGCGTCTGATAAGTTGGCGAACCAATACTGCGAACTTTCGCGTAGTACATCAGTTTCCAAACTTTCACTGTAGACACATTTGATATGTCTGTGACCGATATAGAATTGTGCGGTGTGACCAATTAATCAACGATCGAACAATTAGTCAAACGCGTAATGTTAATTGATCGTTATAGAACGTCGAGATCAATTCATGCTATGAACTCGGTGGCAACTTTGGCGAACTTTGACCGTGCTCGAAAACTTTGAAATTATTAGAGATGGTGGGCTTTTTGTGTCTTGACAAGTAAAATAAAACACAGGATTAGTTGACCATTAGATCGGTAATCCAGTTGAAAAATCCAGTCTCATCCGAAAAGCGGATCCCGGTGCCTCGAAAGGATCCCTGTCGGAGACCCCGTCTCTCGAACGGGTCGTTTCTCATCCAGGTGGCAAAATCCCGGTTAATTAGTAATCATCTTCCTCTGTTAAATTCGCAGGTGCTCGGCGTATCCAGCCAGCACACCGAGCGTATAATTCGGATGCGTCGGATAATCCGCGCGACGTTTCGACGTTGATCCTGCAAATTAAGTCGACTGCTCGACACGAGCTCGACGCAGGGCGGCCGGGGGTGTAGGGAGGAAGGTGGTTTGTCCTGGAGGCAGGTGGGGCAGAACGGAACGTAATCGCAATGTGCTTTGGGTGATTATAGGCAATCGCGAAAGTACCAGAAAGCGACGGGTAAGAGGGAACAAGATAGAGCTAAGGGTGGTGGAAAACGACGAGGGGGTGGACGAGGGATACACGGGCCCATAACGGTGCTGCGTCGCCACCCCGACGTACACGCTCGAACGCGTTGCGTAATTAGCGACTGCCTCTCCGGTTTTGTGGGTGGATGAGGGGGTAGTTGGGCGGCCTGGATGCCGAGGGTGAAGTAGCTGCACTGTTACCGTGCGTCGGGATTGGGGCACCCCCTGAAGAACACGTTCGAGTAACTGCCGACCGGGATGAAACCCATCGCCATGCGGGAGCACACGTGCGATCTACTGGGTGGTTCTCGCTGTAAGATTTCGGGTATTTCCTAACCATCGCTTTCCACCCTTCATGTTCATCTGCAGTTTTGAGGTCCACGTATTCTTTCACACCCCTTTTATCGCATCATATGTATATAGATAACGAGGGATCTGTGTAACGTTGTAAAACGTTAATTCTTCTGCAGCGAGTTTAATAACCTTGTCGAACTCGGAATAAAGATCCGAATTGCAACCGAATCATTTGGATATTTGGTAGATTTCGATTTCAAAGAAATTGCTCGTTTCAATAATTCAGTTCACCCAGTGTACTCGGTCCCGTTGAGCTCGCCTCAGCTTCAGCCTCGGCAACTCCGCTCGAATTAACGCGTCGTCTCGCAGCTACTTGGATGAAGCCTCTCGCACAAACGGCTCGTAACGATCAATTATCGGGCATAACGCTCGGCTGGGAATCGTGACAAAGCCGCAGCGGATTTTACTACGTAAACAAGCAACGTCTTGGAGGGCTCGATTCTCGCGTTACTCGGCCGCGGATCTGATTTTCTCGAGGAGCGAAACGCGAACTGGAGCCGGGAGGGGGGCGAATTATGCGGTTGGTGGCGTCGACACTAATCCCTGTCGAAACAACCCCCGTATCAGCCAGCGAATCGACGAGGTGGCGAAAGAGGGGTCACATAGACTCGACGTAGACGCAATTAATGCAGAAACCAGCCGCGGACGTCGAGGGAGTTTCGACGAGGGCATCGAAGCTATGCCGTCAGACGTAATGACTAATTGAGATTGGAAAAGAGAAGGGAATAATACGATCCGGGTGGTCACGGTAAAACGCACTTTTTCCTTCCTCCTTCATCCTTTTTCGTTCCCTGTATAACCCCCTCCCGTTCCCTTCAGCTCCTCTAACCCTTTCTCGTGTCGATTACAAAGGATCTCTCGCCTGTAGGCACACCAATGGAATTACCGGCTGCGCTGTCGCGCTTCCAGCCTCCGATAGGATCACCACCGGCTCGATTTTAATGCAATCAAAAATTTATCGAGACCTAAGTATCTCGGGTAGACGGATTTATCAACCTCTTCCGTTCCTTTTATTCTCCTTATTTTTTTTACTTTTATTCGCGGCGGGAATATTTTTAGAGTGCAAGGATATTCGTACGTAAATGTAGACGGTGTGGAGAAAATTTCAGGATCGATAGTCGCGGAAGTAATTTACTTAGAATAAAGTTTATTTGAAATTTTATTGAATCGTGGAAGACCTGTGGTGGAAGCATTTGTTCCATTTCGGTATCGAACAAAAGTATACAATTTCGCAAACTCTCTAATATTTGTCTCTCGCAAAGACGCCTAATTCTGAAAGAAAAACCAGACCCAGATCAGCTCAAAGAACTCCATTCAGGAACCCTTGCCAGGCTTCCAAAGAAGGTCCGCTTCGAAAGTCAGGCAAAGCGTCTTCCCTTCGCTCGCGCGTCAAAGTTCAGCGTTTCGCGAGTGCAATAAACCAAGAGGCACGGTCCCGGTCGCTCACGAGACGCATTCATCAGCGCACAACGAAGACAATTCCGCCGCGTGTTGCGACACGATTTGTCACGATATCGCGGCAACGGTTCGCGGCATCGATATTGTGTCGCGCACAATCCGCATCCAAGAGTGAAACAACGAAGCTATGGCAAGCAAGTAAGGCAGGAAGGAAGGAAGGAAGGAAGGAAGGATGGAATGCAAAAGGAATGGAACTACCCGCGAGAAGGGGTAAAGCAGGAGTATACCTCTCACAAGGCAGCCAGAGTCGCGCGAGTGTTCTCCATTCGTCGCCGCTCGGCTCGTCGACATTAAGATAATTACTTTCCAGCAGGACGTGCGCGCTTATTGTTGCCGTTACCGCGGCAGAATGGCATTATGCATTGTCGGCAAGAAAGCTGTAGGGGTGTGTGTAGGGAGTTGGAGGGAGTTGACGTTGCGCGAGGTGCGACAGCAACTGTAGGGGTGGGTGGCACCCACTCCGTACAGTGGCTAACAAAAGTTTCTCCTTAAAATTCTAACTAGGACTTTTATTAAAGTAACTTGTAGAAACATCTGGGCTTAGGGATGACTGGTGTTCAACTTCATATAGCAAGAACTTAGTTGGTATGCTAGCACAAGAGTTTTATAGACTACCTTCGAATTTCGGTTGAATTATTTTTTGGAGTCTTCGGAATTTACCTTACTAACCAACAGAAAGTTATTTCTCGGAATTTTGTTTTCATACCCAGGTTACCTGTGAATTTTTCTAGACTTTAGAAGAGTAAAAAAATGAATTTGACCGGAAACTTTTGGCAACCACTGTATGCCTTAGCCCGTGGGTGGAGCATCATTCCGTCAGTTCCATGTTTCGCCATTGAAACTAGCGAGCTTCCTCGAGGAACACAGTGAGAGGGTGGGCATCCATCGATGTATCCAACGGCTTTCTCCCGGGCCGACGCCATTAATGTAATTATTTCCAGCGAGTGTTTCACAGCCTGGAGAACGCTTCGCGAGAATTGAGACTGATCAGCCGACCGGGCCTGCTACCGAGAAAGAAAATCCGCGTCCTCGAGGGATACCCTTCGCGGTTCTCCTCCATTCTTCCTTCCACCCTTTACTCTTTTGCCCGTCGCTCTTCTTCTTCGCGTTCGACGCTCGCGTGCTTCTCCGGGATCGCTCGTCACGGCGGCGTCGAAGCGTTAAAACGAGACTCGCTTGTCGGATTTGTGTCGCTCGCTTGCTACCGCGATAATACCCTGATTTCTCGTAATGGCTTTTGCTCGCGGTCTGTTGCCTTTCGATTCTTGTTTTTCCTCTTGCAGAAACGTGCTCTGACAGTTCGCAAACTTTCCATTTTCTCAAACGAGTATTCGGAGTTACACTCGTTACATTGCCGTGTTAGCCACGCGTTATATTACCCATGCGTTAAGTTCCGCACATATTTCTTAAGTACGCTTATTGTCTTTGCTAAGCATTGTATTTTTACCACTCGTAAAAAGAACCGAATCGTAAATCCCTCCTTCGGAAATCGATTGTTCACCGTGCACGGTCGATTTCTTTCGACGAGAAGTTGGCTCCCGTACCAGTTCGGAACAGGTACGTTTCGTAACCTCGGCGGAAAAATTCTCGTGGAAACATTTCGGTGAATGGCCGGAAATTCGGTGAGATAGACATGCAAGAAAGCTAAATTCGCCGTGAAGAATTAAATCGTTCGGAAAAGGGAGCGGGGTAAATTTGCTGTTCACGTTGCATCATGTCCGTGGCGGGTACGTTCATCGAGGAGGATGGTTTCGGATTTGTACCCAGACCGGATCGCAATGCACAAAATAGACCGTTCGAGATCGTCAGGAGGTAAATTGCGGACGCTATTGAATACCGTAAAGAAAGCAAATATTTCCCTAGCGAAGCATAATCGATATTTGAACGTTTCGTTACATGCTCGACTAGATACACGATGACCAATAGACACAGAGCATCGGTTCAATTAATATCTTGGGGCGCTGGTATTCAGTCCATCAAGGTTCCAAACAGGTTCGGAATTTTGGGCGACGTTGTGTTAGGATTCGACGACATGAGCGGTAAAATGATAATCGTATTTTTCCTGTACTCTTCTGCGAAACTTCTCGACAACATTCGTGAAGATATAATCAGGTTATCTGGAGCACAGGTACATGGGAAGTATAATCGGACGAGTGGTGAATCGAATATCGAACGCGAGGGCGAAGATCGAAAACAGGGTTCACTCCCTATCGATCAACGACAGGGATTGCGCCAGTCATTTCAATGGAGGTTTCCTGGGCTTCGACAATGTTAATTGGAATTCTTACATAATGAAGAAACACGTGGTGCGAGAATCGTCGTGGAAGTAGTTCGACATTTGATTATAGAAGTATGTCCCGAACAGGTGATGTCGTATTTGAGTCCAGCAAATAGCGAAGGATATCCAGGAAATATGTTAACGCAGATTAAGTACTCTTGGACGGATAATAATCATCTTCGAGTTAACATTCGAGCCACTGCCACACAATCGACACCTGTTAATATCACTGCTAATTGTTTGATGAATCTTGCTGGACACGTAAGATGATTTCAGACCGTCACTTTGTCTCAATAAGGAACTAGATGAAATCTCAAGCAATCTTCGTCATAGGCAACTGGTCCAGACGAATTAAAAAGGCACATAGTCTCCCTGAACGCCGCAAGTTGGACGTTCGCGGATATCAAAGACAACTATTTGCCTACGGGTGCTATACATTCGGTTGATCGAACAGTCTACGATCTACGTTTACCGACACGGCTCACCAGGAAGAAGCTTTACTGTGTACCAGGAGGCGGTTATAACCAGAACCTCTGCATAACCAGCCCCAGTTGCTGGGTCTACCGATTTCACGCTAGGTAAGCCAACCCGAATGCGAGAATATTTTTGTTGGAAAATTTTCCGAACTCTGCATCCAGGGTTTTGCATCCCAATTCGGGGAGAACTATGGAGATATACTCGAACCAACCTGGCTTGCAATTCTCCACTGGAAACGATCTACCAGATCCCGATCGCGTTTATCCCCCTGACTTTGAGGATTATTGCGACAACTACGATAAAGTTGAACAATTTTAAATTCGATCGATTTGTTAAGTTTTGGATGTTACATGGAATCTATTGCAGGGAATGTACGAGGAACCGAGAGAAATTTGGGGTAAAGACGGTGTTCGGTATCGGAGACACGGAGGATTTGTTATGTCCCCTCAAAACTACCCCAATGCAATCAACATTAATAATTTCCCTCCCTGTATATTGTACCCTGGTGAAGTTTACGTGCACGATTTAACTTATAAGTTTGGTCTATTGTCCAAAATATAAATTTTAGAAAACTCAAATTCATTGGGACTTTTTCTTGTATTAGTATTTTTTAATTCTTGAATAAAAAATAGGGTCATAGGTTTATAACAGATATATTTGTGAACCATCTCGGTTGGAATAATCCTCGCATTCGCGATCGATTGTACAAAATTATCCATCATAGTTTCTATTCACATATCTATCGTAAATGACAATCGTATGGGTGTTCTTTGATAAACAGGACTCATCGATCGTCAACTAATTAAATTATACATATTATCGAATCGATTAACGTTACTTGCCTTATATAAATTCTCTTTTAATTGTCCTGAAGGCACTTAAACGGTGCGAGAGAAACGTTGCTCCAGATGTTCGATAATCGTGATATAAAATTATAATCTCGAATATCTTTTATTAAAAATCGACACCTGGAATTCTGCACCGTATTCGCTTCTAGCCGTCTATAAACGTTATATAAATATATAAAGCTACGTCTGTGTATGTATACATTCGTTAAACTTAGAAAAATATTCATTTTCGTTTGTACATTCCTAGAGTGTTAAATTTCTACGATAAATTGTGGCAGAATTCTGCAGTTTCCTGTTTCTTTAGTCTTCTTTTTTAAGTTTCACGAGTATTTGGAGGCAGTAGATGAAGAAAAAATGTAAAACACAATAAGGCAGAGGCAGTGTTAATAACCCTTGGACGAAATAGAATCCAAAAATATAAAGATTTGGAAATTGAATGCTGTCCAAGGATCAATCGCAAGTTTCCACGCGAAAGAATAAGAAAAAAAAGTTATTTGGCAGTGAGACGACGCGAGTCAAATGAACACAAATTAAAAAGCGTTTAAAGGCTTCGCCTGCCCGAACGAATTTCAAAAAGTTTCGTGCCATGTATATAATACTTGTAGCCCAGCTAATTTCTCTCCCGTTGCGCGTGGCGACACGAAAATTGACTAAAAGAACGGAAACACCGTTCCTCTAGGAATTACTCCGTCACTATTAAGTGCACTCTAAAGGTGAGTGGCCTTTCCCAGACTTCGTTCTCCTGGTTGCTGGCATTTCTCGAACCTCCGTGAATCAACAGCCTGAATCGATCGGGTTTCTTCAATCGACTGCGGAAATGCAACGCAGAAATGCCGTGTTCGTTCACGATCTCGAAATGATTATCCTCGTTCCCTTTCACGATCTTGTACTCCATCTCGTCCTGCGAACCATTTGTCGTTTAAATTTTAATTGCGAGATTTATGAGAAAATTATAGTCAACTAAAATAACCTTAACAGCAGGCTGCAGTTTGATGATTCTCATTCGGTGCCTAGTCTGTCGCAAACTGATCTTGAGAACGTATTCTTCGCCGTGATGATGCCTCTTCGCAGATCTGACGAACCTTCTCTTCATGATTTCATTTCGTCTCGCAATCATCTCCTCGTCGTTCAATCTCGTTCGAGTACTCCTTCTGTGTCGGCCTTTGCCGTTGATCTATCCGAATTTGATTCGTTTAACTAAGCTTGAAATTAGGGGTTCAAATTTTTTGGATAGACTTTACCTTGCAGGAGAAGCAACCCTCTGTCGATATGGTCTTATCATCCGCCGGTGGTATGTGATAAGGATCGGGATTGATCACGAAAGTAGGTGCATTGCTGATATCCTCGCCGTAATGTCCTTGTGATAATGGATTTATCGTCGAAAGACAGTGACCCTATTTATAATCATATGAAAGATTACATTACTTGAAAGAGACTCTTCTCTAAAACACTTCCTTACGAACCTGGCCAATTCGTTGATAACCCGTTGGACATCCACAGATGAAACCATTCGCCCCGTTAGGGATGCATCCAAATGCACAAGGGCTTCCTACGCACCCAGAGCTCACCTATTCATTAACACCCCCGTTTTAATATTTAATTGCTAGTTAATCACTAAAAACCTTACCTGAACACAGATCTGTAAATTGTTATCGAACTGATAGCCGTCAGGGCAGCCACACTTGAAGCTACCGATAGTATTGATGCAAGTATTATCGCCACAGGGAGAGGTGTTGCATTCGTTCTCGTCGATGCATTGATTGTAGTACAAGTGTTGGACGAAACCATCGGGGCAACCGCAACGATAGCTTCCCATGAAATTCTGTGCAAGAAAATATTTTTCACATGCCTCGAAGTTACAAGAAAATGCTAACGCAGATTGCAAAGAAATTGCTAACCTGACAGCCGTGTTCGCAAGTGCTGTCCTCAGCACACTCGTTCTGATCGACACAAAATCTTCCACTCTGATCGAGCTTGAATCCTCTCGGACAGATACACCGGAAGCTTCCAAGAGTGTTGATGCAGGTGCCCGGTTTCGGACAAGTACCATGTTGTTCGCATTCGTTTATGTCTACACAAATCAAATTACGATTTATTATTCGATAATTAATTTTGTGGAATATTTTCCGAGTGGGTCAATAACGATTTCCAACCGTGACACGCGTCTCCATCTTGAGTGTATCCTTCCTGGCAGCCACAAGTGTAGCTTCCTTGAGTATTGATGCAGTTCTGTTGACACAGATGATTTCCGGTCGCGCATTCGTCCAGATCCCTGCAGCTAACTCCATCGGGATTCAGGATGAATCCCGCAGGACACGAACAGATGAAGCTTCCTTCCGTGTTCTGGCAGTTATACTTGCATGGCTTCGGTACTGTTTCACACTCGTTTATGTCTGCAATTTATTGACATTAAATTTTCCTTCTATAATTTAATATTAATTTTGAAGTACTTACCGACACATTGGGTACCAGATTTGTCAGGTTTGTACCCCTTGTTGCAAACGCAACGATAAGATCCCAAAGTATTGATGCACAGACCATTTCTGCATAAATCAGGAATCGTTCTGCACTCGTCAATATCTAAGAAAGATCGTCAAATTATTTCGGTGATAATAAAAGGTATATTGTTTGAGTACCTTGTCCGTCCACGGAGAAACCTTTGTCCAAGCAGAGCTCGTTATAATTATCAGAATCCTTGGTAGGGCAAATTTCACAATGAGGACCCCAGGCTGCACCCATCGTGCAACAACAGTCCGCTTTCGTTACTGTTTTCAAATCGGAAGTCCTAGCCGTACATCTGCCACCGATGGTTTGCAGGAAACAGTATCCCACTCTTCGATCTAACGAACAATTTTTTTTATCCACTAGTTTAAATGATTAGATCTTGTGTAAATACCTATGCAAGATTTTCCGTCCGAACTCTGTTCGAAACCGTCGTAACAGTAGCATTGATAACTGCCTTCTAAATTGATACATCGACCGTTTCGACACAGTCCCGAGTTAATTGCACACTCGTCGATGTCCTTGCACTCGTCGGTCATGCCAATTTGTTGAAAACCAGGTGGACAGATACACATGAAACTACCGATCAGGTTCTTGCATTGATATTTGCAGTTGTTTGCGGGGGTAGCACACTCGTCTACGTCTGGAGCAAGATCGTTCGATTTATCCAAATAATTCATCGCAAATTTCTTCGTTTACCTACCTATGCAATGTCGTCCATCGGGTGCCAAAGTGTACCCATAAGGGCAAATGCACCTGAACGAGCCCGGCGCGTTGTGACACCTGAAGGCACACTGATTGCCCATCTCCAGGCACTCGTTCACGTCCTCGCAGACCTGGTTTACGCCTGGTGTGAATCCTTCGTTGCAGGAACACTCGAAACCACCGTCTATGTTCGTGCACGTCCCATTACCGCATATATTTTGCACAGTTAGACACTCGTTGTTGTCTATGCAGCGTCTTCCGGTTGCGTCTAAAACGTATCCTGAAGGACACTCGCATCTGAAGGACCCGTCCGTGTTTATGCACTCGCCACCCGCACAGGCATCCGGCATGAACAGGCACTCGTTCAGATCGATTCCTGTGTCGTCCCTGCCTGGGCCCTCGGGACACAGTCGTTTGAATTCCTCTGGAATAGGATCGTAATTTTTACTTTCTGGTTCTGATTTTGGAAGAAATTTGAACGTATGAATACTCACCACTGTCTTCTGAAGGGCACGCTTCGCAATATTTGCCCCAAGCTTTGCCCATAGTGCAGCAGCAATGTTTCTTCGTCATGGCACCCGTGCGAGGATGGGTGCACCGTCCTCGTAGATGTGGCACGTAACGATCGTAACAGAACTCCTCCCTGACGTCGATGCATCGCATGGAATTTGGTTTATCGCTCAATTTAAATCCGACTGGGCACTCGCATATCACGCCACCCTCGGTATTGATGCAGCGACCGTTTTCGCAAATTCCTTGAGTCTCCACGCACTCGTCGACGTCTGTGCAAATTGCAATTGCATTTGTATGAAGTTTTCATTTGGTAAGACTTTATTTACCTACCGACGCATCTTCTGCGCGTGTGATCTAACTCGTAGCCGGGAGGACAGTTGCATATGTAGGATCCCATCAGGTTCTGACACTTTCCTGGCGGAGGACAGAGTCCGGGTACCTGGTGCAAATTTTAGTGTTATTAAAATTCTCAAGTTTGTCTTTTAATTCATCACTCACCTCGTGACACTCGTCCACGTCCCTACAGTGTTGTCCATCCTGCGCCAGAACGTATCCATCGGCACACTCGCAAATGAATGCCCCAATCGTGTTTCGACATCTCCCATTGCGACACAGGAACGGCATGATTCGACACTCGTCGATATCTACAATTTACTCGTTATAATCGAAGACCATCGACTCCTTAAGTAACGACTCACCTGCACAGTCGTTGTTGGGGCTAAGCTTGAATCCTTGATAGCAAATGCACTTGTAAGAGCCCAGAGTGTTCACGCACGTCCCGTTATTGCAGATGTTTGGATTACGTTGACACTCGTCGATGTCCACGCAATTGTCGCGGTCCCTCGTTAACGCGAAACCGGGATGACAAACGCACTGGAAACTGCCTTGCAAGTTGTTGCAGGCACCGTTGTTGCAGATCCCGGGTCTCTCGTAGCACTCGTCGATGTCCACGCAGTCTCGTTGGCTCAATCCAAGTTTGTACCCGGCTGGACAAGTGCACTCGAAATAGCCTTGTTTGTTTATGCACTGCGCATTGCCGCTGCAAGGATTTGGAACCTGAGAAAAGAAGATTATATTCTCCGAAAAATGATAACTTAACTACGAAATTACTGTACCTGTAAACACTCGTTTTCATCGATACACTGATGCGAGTCCTGGTCGTAAATATATCCGCGATCGCATTGGCATTCGAAGCTGCCAGGAGTGTTCATGCAACGACCGTGAGTACACATGGTTGGCATCAGAGCGCACTCGTCGATTTCTTCCGTGTGGTTGGTTATGGGGTTCATTATCTGACCGGGTACCATACCGCAGAGGATTTCGTGTTCGCCTGCAGGATAATTCAGTTACGATTCATGTTTATAACAAAATAACAGTTTACTTACGAGTTCTTTCTGCTGGACATGGCTCGCAAGGACTTCCCCAGGCAGCACCCATGGAACAGCAGCACAGCATTTTTGTTTGTGGATGCATCATGGGATTGAAACACTGACCGGCGTCGTAGTTCAGATAGCAGGACTCTTTTCTCATGTCGACACATTCCTCTGAGAAAATAAAATAATTCGTATGTGAAACTATTATTACATATTCACTTAGATACTTGATCTAATCGTTTGTTATTAAATAATTCACTCACTTCCTCCTGGCATAGCCATGTACCCTTCTGGACACTCACAGTGGTACTTCCCTTGATCATTGATGCAGTAGCCCACTCCACATATTTGTGGATGCAAGGCACACTCGTTTATGTCTATAAACAAGGAATTGAATCATGAATTTTTCATGTGGAATATCGTTATTTAAATAATTTTATGAAATTACCAATGCAGCTACTCTTCGTATCGTCCAAAATGAAGCCCTCGTTGCAAGAGCACATGAAGCTACCAAAAGTGTTCGTGCAATGTCCATTCTGACAAATATTTTCGTGCTCCTCGCACTCGTTTATGTCCTCCAGTATCACGGTGACTCGATTAGGTCTATACCCGGGTCCCCCAGGGCAAAGGTCCTCGAATTCCTTGGTTCCTTCGTGCGGACACTCTTCGCAATTGTTGCCCCAAGCATTTCCGATGCTGCAGCAACATGTCGCCTTCGTCACCGCGGAGGCGAGATCGAAGATGCATTGAGGCTTTCCGGTTCCATGTTCGTAGCCGATGAAACAGAACGATTCTCTCCTATCTAGAAGTCCAAAAAAGTTTTTAATTTTCAAATCTCCAAGTCACTAAATAAAGTAATTCAATTACTGACCAACGCAAGCGTTTCCCGCTTCAACCAGCTCGTGATGAGGCGGACACTTGCACACGTATTTTCCCTGTGTGTTTATGCAAGTTCCATATTGACACGATTGTGGATTTTCGCATTCGTCGATGTCCGTACAGTTCCCTCCGGAGCCGTCCAGTTTGTACCCCTCGTTGCACTCGCAGCGGAACATGCCAAATATGTTCTCGCAACGTCCAAAAACACACAGATTGCTGAACATCTCGCATTCGTTTATGTCCACGCACATCTGCTCGTTATTTTCGTCAGGGTGCATGAAACCCATCTCGCACTCGCAACGAAAAGAGCCTGGATAGTTGAGACAGTGTCCATTCTCGCAAAGGGTATTGTCGTTCGCGCACTCGTCGATGTCTTTGCAAGTGTAACCGTCGCCTCGGAAGCCAGCATCGCAGACACACTGCAATTTCAGTTTTTATTTGCAAGTTTTTCCCAGATTTTGTAATTGTACGGTTTGAAATTGTGTCGGTAGCGTCATCTGGCGGTGAGTGTCGGAACCAAGATAGAAATTTGCATATTTTTTTTAAATGAAGAAAATTGATGCTATTTTAAGTTCGTACATCTGTTGTATATTTCCGCAAATTGCAAAATGTGTTTGTTTTATGCAAAAAGAAAAGAAATTTCGTCTTTCGTTACCTGAGGCACTCGCCGCAAGATGATGCCAGCGGTACTGTGTTCAAAATCACGCGTTAATAAAACTTTTTGAAACGTTACCTTGAAGGATCCCTCGGTGTTGATGCACTGTGCGTTAGAATCGCATCCTCCATTATTCGTGAGGCACTCGTTTATGTCCCTGCACTCGACTCCATTTCCTACGAAGCCTTCATGACAGGTGCACTCGTACGATCCTTGAGTGTTCTGGCACTCTGCGAATTCGCTGCAGGAATAAGCATTTAGCAGACACTCGTCGTCGTCTGTGCAACCAGGACCCGCATCGGGTTTCACGGAGTATCCTTCTTCGCAGCGACAGTTGAAGGAACCGATGGTGTTGTAGCATTCTCCATAGCCACATATCTGGGGCTGCGTAGTGCACTCGTCGACATCTATCGAAAATAGGATTTTTAATTTCTAGTCCTCTTTTAAGAATTCTTTTATTTACCTATGCAAGATGCTCCGTCCTTTCCGGGCAGCAGTCCATCGGTGCAGGTGCATATGTAGCCGCCAGGGATGTTGCTGCACTTGCCTCCGTTACAAATTCGAGGATTCTCTTTGCACTCGTCGACGTCCACGCAGGATCGACCATCGAGGTTCAGTGCAAATCCAGTGCTATTCAGAAAATAGTTCCATATAGGAAAATTATATCGTCTAAGTTAATATATCAAAATATACCTGCAAGAGCAAGAGAAGCTGCCTGGCGTGTTCAAGCAAATATCTTCGCACCCTCCATTACTGGCCGCGCATTCGTTTATGTCCTCGCAATGCGACTTCAACCCGGTCTGTTGATAACCGTCGTCGCATATGCACTGATAAGTGCCCATCATGTTCTCGCAGACTCCATTCGAGCAAATTCCGCTGGTTCTCGAGCACTCGTCGATGTCCTTACAGGACTGCTTGTCGGGACCCAGCTCGTGTCCTGGAGGACACTGGCACTTGAAACTGCCTTCGGTATTGATGCAGGTACCTCCTAGACACAACCCTGGTGTCTCTTCGCATTCGTTTATATCTATAATTAATAACTACTAGTTAATTTACTTTTGTTCTTCCGAATTTGTTAGTGTTAGTCCACACGATACGTACCCATGCAAATTTTCATGATATCGCTGCTGCGATACCCAGGATTACAGTCGCACTGAAAATTGCCAGGCGTATTCCTACAGGTCCCGTTCCCGCACACTCCATGCATGATCTCGCACTCATCGATATCTGCACACGCGATAATTGTTAGTGAATACCACAAAAATATTGCTCTTGAAGCAACACGAATAAATGAGTCCCATTAACACCTTTGACCCAAGATAATCGTCACTTACCATTGCACTTGATGCCGTGTTCGTCTAACGCAAAACCTTGATTGCACTTGCAACTGAAAGTACCAACTGTGTTCTTGCACCTCCCGTTCAGACACATGCCGGGAAACTCGATGCACTCGTTGATGTCCTGCTTGTCGGTAAAACCGTGTCCTCTGGGACACAGTTCTTGGTGGGCATGGGTACCCGGTTTCGGGCAGGACTCGCATCTTTCGGTGCCCCATGCGCGACCCACGGAGCAGCAACAGAGACTCTTGGAAAATTGACCCTCGATCGCGTTCGAACACTGACCGTGGCGGTAGTCTAGGTAGCAGGTCTCTTGTCTGGTGTCTATGCAAGTGGTATCTGAACAAAATTAAGTTTATACCGATCAGAACGACATTCTATTCATAGGTGATAGCCTTGTTATCTTGTAAAATATCAATTCACGTGTGGAGGTACTTACGTGTCGCGTCCAAAGTCAATCCAGGAGGACATTCACAGCGATAGGAGCCATCCGTATTAACACAGGTGCCCCCTCCTTTGCAAATTCCGCTGTTCAGTTCGCACTCGTTCACGTCAACGCAGTCTTTACCGCCAAATTTCGCGTATCCCTTAGAGCACTCGCACAGAGAGTGATCGCAGAGCTCGCAAGGGCTTCCCCAAGCAACTCCCACCGAGCAACAGCACTCCGATTTGAGTGCCAGTCTCGGTAGATTGTACTCGCAGCGACCGTCTATCATTTTCGTCCAGCAGGAACCCCTCCTGTTATCTAAGAGAAGTTTTGGTCTCAGAAAATTTCTATTACTAAACATTGAAGGCTTGGTAAATTTGTTGTACCCATGCATATGTGGCCACTGTGATCGAGAACGTATCCCGGAGAGCACTCGCACTCGTAGGAAGTCGGAGTGTTCACACAGATCCCGTTCAAGCACACATCCGGACCGAGTTCCTCGCACTCGTCGATGTCCTCGCACATGTGGTTCTGCGTGTTGAATCTCGTTCCACTTGGACAGATACACTGTGTGAATACCAAACCATGAATCTCTGGGATAGGTTTAATTCACTTAAATTGGGGTAATGGGAAGATTATATACCTGGAAGCTTCCGGGCGTGTTTCGACATTGACCACCGCTGCAGAGGGACTCTTCTAGTTCGCATTCATTTATATCGCTGCACTGTTTTCCGGTGGAGTCCACCTCGTAGCCACTGTCGCAGATGCAGCGATAGGTTCCCATCAGGTTCTCGCAACCACCGTTCACGCAGATATTGGGGTTCTGTGCGCACTCGTTGATGTCTGTTTCATAGTTTCATAAATTAAGAGGCACTCAGTAGCTAATATATTCATTATGCGTTCAACACATTCTGTTTACCATCTCCATTGTAAGTCATTCCAGCTCCATGGGGACACAAAGCATCAAATTCTGTGGTGCCAGGAAGTGGACAAGGTTGACAGGTACTTCCCCAGCCCATGGGTTGACCCAGGATCACGGTGCAACAGCAGCAACTTGATTTTGTCACCGCTGTCGATGTCGGATTAGAACACTGTCCATCCTTGTATTGCGAGTAGCACAAATCTCTTCTCGTGTCTGTTAGAAGTAGAATTCTCAGTTCTGTTCAGGATTGTGAAATTAAATTTTGGGGACAGACCTAAGCAGGATCTTCCATCTGGTCCTAAGTTGAATCCAGGGTGACATTCGCACCGGAAGCTGCCAGGGGTGTTGATGCAGCGTCCATTCTGACAGGGTCCGCTTAGACACTCGTCGATATCTAACGAGAGAAAAGTATCTTTGTATAATAAATTTTTGCAAAGACAAAGATTTGGAATAAATTCTGAAAGTTAAATTGGAAAAGTGTGGTATGAGGACACACACCGATGCAGTGGCTTTGATCCGGCCCGATCCGGAAGCCAGAGTCGCAGACGCATTTGAAAGAACCCTCCATGTTCACGCACTTCCCGTTCTCGCACATGCCACTGGTGGAACACTCGTCCATGTCGACGCAGAACGTGTTATCTCGTGACGCGGTGAATCCAGATTGACAGATGCAGTGATACGATCCTGGGGTGTTCTCGCATCTTCCGTTCAAGCAGATACGAGGATTGTCGGCGCATTCGTTGATATCTGTGACCATATTCGCATTAAAAAAAGCCCTCAGGTTTATCGCATCTGTGAAAGAAACCTACCGATGCAAGTGTTCCTCGTAGGTGACAAAGCATAACCATCGTTGCACTTGCACTTGAAGGACCCGTTCATGTTGATGCAGTGTCCGTTGTTGCACATTCCTGTGTCCTGACATTCATCGTGATCTGTAAGAAAATGCAAATTTCTCTATGTTCGTCTAATCCGAACCTACGAAAAATTACCTGTGCAATATCTTCCCTCTCCCGACACGACGAAACCTGGAGGGCACTGGCAGGTAAAACTACCCTCGTAATTCTGGCAAGTGCCACCCTGGCAGTATCCCAAGAGACACTCGTCGACGTCCTCGCATCTGCCAGCCTTCTTCGTGAAACCGGGATAACAATCGCACTCGTATCCATCCTCCGTGTCGATACACTTCCCGCTTCCGCAAATGTCCGGTCGTAGAACGCACTCGTTTATGGCGGTGATCGGTTGCAATTGTTGCAAGCATAGCCTGCTGTAATCGTCTATAATTGAGTAATAACACGGTTCCCGTTACTCGCAATTACCGTAAACATTGTCCGTGCCTCCTGGGCGGCTTCGTTTTTAATTCGAACGCTCCACTTAAACGTTCTTTCACGGAGGTATTTCTATTGTTTCTACGTACCACTTCCGGGATTGGGACAAATGTAGCACTCGTCGCCCCAACCGCGTCCCATGTTCTTGCCGCAGCAGCAATCCTTCTTGCTCAGCCTCATTGCTAGTCGGTTTCTGCACTGACCGTTCCTGTTCACCGACGTGTAACATAGTCCTTGCCTCCCGTCTGCAATTTTATTGATCAAAAATGCATCTTAAGTCCTAATAATTTGTTGGAGTAATTTTTGAATTGTTCGTACCGATACAGAATTTTCGATCTTGGCTCTGAATGAATCCAGGATTGCATAGACAGTAATATCCGCCATTTGTGTTCACGCAGCGTCCATCTGTACAGATTCCTTCCTCCTGACACTCGTCCCGATCCTTGCAGGAGTTTGTCTCGGGGTCTCTCGCCTGCCCATCAGGACATTCGCAGGTGAACGATCCTGGAGTGTTCAGGCACTTGCCACCCTCGCATAACCCTGGTATCGCTTCGCACTCGTTGATATCTAATTAATTACATGAAATGAAATTCTGAATATTTGTCGTGCATGTCGCTGAATAATTCGCAAATGAGACGGTGGTTTTATAATTTACCGACGCATTGGCCTTGATTAGTTTTCAAGTGTCCTAGTTCGCAATCGAGTCTGGCCGGACACCTTTCGCAAGGGTGACCCCAACCCTTGCCCACAGTAGCGCAGCACAATTGTCGGGTGCAAACGACACCCTGAAGATTCGCCAAACATTGACCGTTCTTTACCTTCGTGTAACAAGGACCGGTCCTGCAAGGACAGAGAATGCATTTACTTTGCGTTAATTGAAACTTCGGTTCGATTCGACGAGATGTTTACCTGTAATCGGTTTCACAGCGTCTACCTGTGTATCCGTAGATGCAGGCGCAGCGATCTGGACCGATACACCTTCCTTGATTCAGACACGGCTCGCGACAGATCGCTGTTAAATACAATTTATTTAAAGCAGCAAAAACATTCACGTTAAATTCTACTTTTGGTATCAATTCTGACCTAGATGACGTATCAATGTTGGTCTAAATGACGTAAACGGATATCAAATCTGACCTAGATGAAAACTATGATCTAACTCACGTTCGTTGCAGAACTCTCCTTGGTATCCACTACGACACTGACACCTGCCATCCACGCAGTTTCCGTTTATGCAGTGCGCCCTGCACCTACCGGACTCACCCCTGTCTAACGCGTTTCCACTTTCGTGGCTGGAAGCTGTTACGAAAGTAGGCTTGTCAAGATCATTGTTAGTTGAAAAATTGTAGTGGAATATTACCTTTGGTTTGGCTACTACTGCAAGAGGAGGCTACCGTGCCACCCTCGCACAAACATATGTTTGGTCTGATGCATCTGCCCAGTGAACCGCATCGTCTCGTACACACCGCTATAAATATTTTTAATCTACAGTATCTCGATCAATGCTCCTAACATTTAGCATTTCTATAATACACGTTGTTAATAATTACAGTAATAGAACACCTAATCCAAACAGAATGATACATCGAAAAGCAATTTCGATAGGCAAACACGGTAGACAATACGATCAACAGGAAGCGTGTAACAAACCATTAAAGCAATTTCATCCGAGTCGATCGATCGTGCGGTACGAACATCTATTTATCCGCTGATTACGTAACGTTGCAATTATTTATCGCCATGCAAAAGCGTGTTCGATCATCGATGTTACTTTCCAGTCCCTTTCGATAATCGCAGCTAAAATTGACCGCGTTCGAGCAGGCCAACAACGGCTTATGAGATCACGTCCAATTAGACGGGAAAATTCACCGGGGGATTATAATTGAACTTTTCAGTTCGAAATGCCTGTTGCGTACTTACGGATTACACAGAGACCGGTCTCGGGCTTCTTCGTCCAGCCGGGGCAGCAGTAATTCTTGTATCTTGACCTGCACACGTTTGGCCTGGCAAAACATAATTAGAATTTAGTTCTTGGGAATAAACTACCCTTAAAAGTTTGGACTATTTTTTTAAAATTGACAAGTTTTAGAAAAGTGAACGAATTTAACTTGTGTTGTAAATAGTTCTCCGCAAGATAGAGCGTTTGATTATCAGCTGCGGAGAGAAAAAAGAGAAAAAGGGGTCGTGTTTACGGGCGTGTAAATCCGCGTAAGCGCAGCGAGTTGCGGCGCCAAGGCGTAAGTGGCGCGTACTCGGAGACCGGCTATATAGCAGCTGACGTTAATCACGAGCCGGTCCGTGTGAATGGCCGCCTTGTTCCGAGGTGGCACACCACGTTCTCTTCCCATTCTTTCTTCTTGTCAGCGCGTGCCACGACATACCGTTTACCGCCACGCTAAAAATCGCGTTTCCGTTTTCCGACAACGCGTCGACCCCGTTTCGCCTTATCACTCGCGAACGGAACTTTGGCTTTTTCAGCGTTCAATGTCGATGTTAATTCATCGAAAGTACGGAATTGAACCGCGTGGAATTACCTCGAGTCGCGTGCAGTCTCGGAATTGAATCAACGCGTCAAATTACAGTGCCGGATTAAATCGCATCGAATTACGGTAAATCGAATTGAACGTGTAATCGAATAGCGCGGAATTACAACGTATCGGAGCCCCTTCGTTACACCGGTATAATTGGCCAATGTTTGACGCGTTGTTTATTCAACAAATTATACGCCCGTTGAGGAAGGGTATCGTTATATGCAGCTGCTCATTATTTCATAATTACAGCCTTCGCGCCACCGCCATGCTCTGTCAACGATTTCCAATTTGATAATGAATTCGATGATGCCCTTTCGAAAGAGCAGCTGATCTGCATACATATTACCGGCGAGATCTTTACCTGTCGCAACTTTCGTGCGAACTATAATTTTCCAATTAATTTCTCGGATAAAAATCAATCATCGCGTCGACGACGACACCTTTGGTGTTGCTCCCTTCTGCCTGTTCGTGAACGATTTATCTTTTGAAGCAACGTTATCGTATGCTGGCTGACTTTCAATATTATTAATGAGGAAACTGTATTTATCGCGATATGGAAATGATGTTGGCAGTCACCTGCTTGAGTAATGTCACCTGATCAGGTAATCCTCTAATAAATTTGAATACCTGTTTGCTTACTAATTATATATGTAATTGATTTACGACGTTTAATTACGATGTTCAAATATTAACAGCTAATTGGAGAAACATTGCGGACTAAGTAATTATTCGAATAATTTGTAATTACACGACCAAATATTGTAACTGGATGTTACCGAGATCAGATGTTAAATCATTCTTCAACCGCGTTACAAAGAAAGTGAACGAAAAAGAAAACAAAGCGTTGAAAAATGACCTGTTCATCGATTTAATTCGCAAAGCGGTTCGCGGTATGCGTGCTCCCGCAATAATCCAATAAACCAACAGCACAAACCCTGATGCGTGTCTAAACAGCCTCAGCGGCGGGTGTGGGTTTAAAAGTTCAATTGGAAAGTGCACTTAATGGATCTGAAACGGCCGCTGGAATGGCTCTGTCGAGATGGCGGATTATGGTCCATTAACAGTTAAAGCGATCAAAAGGCGACTAATAAAGTAGACCGTGTTGAGTTTCTAAGCTCGAATAGCTTTCATACCAGTGAGCGAGAAAAAAGTGCAAGGGAGTGGGGTGGAAAAAACGAGACGACGAATTAGGTAGAACATTAATTTATGACTTATGGTCATTTTAAAACTGCTTATTAAGGACAGTGTTGTTACGAAACTGCGATGGAAATTTATTGTACGTTTGTTAGAGGAAAGGGTTCGACGAGGAATCGGTGATTGTCGCAATTGAACATGTGTGAGCTTAATTGTAAACGAAGATGAATTCAATACGTCTGGTGTTTTTTCAGTAACCTACTCGTAGGTTAAAAATTACTGGACCTATCTTTGGAGATGTCAGAAGCACCCCACGAGTGAAGAACACGAGATAATCCTCTTAGACGCAAGGGTTATGTTCCCACAAGTCGATGACGGGTCGAAAATAGGACCTATTTCACGGCTAATGGGATCATCACTTAATTATTCACGGTTAGTCTACAAGTTGGATTAGTCGAGACTAAACGAAGCCTTTACGTAACGCAGCGGAAGTGAAAAGAAGAGGAACTGGGGGGAGGAAAAGTGGCTACGTTGCATACTGACACGTTTCGGTCGAAATCGTCGGTAACGAGAATTGTTCGCCAATTAGGATCGATTCGCTGGAATGGGGTCGAACGTATATAACTCGGATTCGGCGAAATCTCAATTTCAAGTGATACGGTTCGTCGTGCGATAAGAATGACGTCACTGTTCGAATTCTTCAACCCCTGAGCACAAAATAGTCTACCTCCTCGATGAAAATTAATCGTTGCAAAACGACTCCTCTCGGATGCATTAAAATACCGATTAGTGAAAAATAAGTGATATGTCACGAAATCGTGTCAGACTCTAAACCGTCCAATCATAAAAGAGTCAACCCCGAGGTGCAGCAGTCCATTTAATTCGAGAGTTGTAAGTAAATATCGTAAACCGGCGATAAATTTGCTTGGGAACATTATCGTCGCGGCTGGAGAAGTACAACCGATAAATGACAAAGTTCATCGATTGTAGGGCACGAGTTATCTATCTAACTGGCCGATTACACGCCTTCGACTAACCAGCCTCCTTCTTCATTGCCATCCTCATTTTTCTACGATCTTGGAAACCTTATTAAAGGCCTGTTCAACGTATCGATTTAATAAATAAATAGTCGAATTTTGTTATTTCAATGTCGTGAAACTCGACCATTACAATTAGTCACAGCAATCCTCGGCAATTTAACAAATTATTTTATCACGAGAGGGCAGCCTTCTACAAAGTAGTCCGTTCAAGAGTATAGGCGTTAATGAACTATCACGAAACATCCTCCGCCCGGGGCGATTACACGATTTAATCGAGGAAAATTCGCGTCAATCATCCGGGATCATGCGTTAATCGACCCTGAGGTAGAAGGCCATCGAAAATCGAGCGAATCCAACGAGCTTTACACTCGAGCTACTTTTTCATTAATAAAGACGCATTAGAGCCTGGTATCTTGTCACGGCCAATTAGAAACACGTTTCACGCGACTCTACCTAACCGGTGGCGATCAATTGCGCCATTAATACGTCGCATCAATTATCGTTTCGCGCCTGAAACGCGTCTCGATTAAAGTCGATGAAAAAGAAACATCTCGGATTACCGTCGTTCGAATCTTTGATTTGTCGAACAACCTTCTTCGATCTTTGATATAACAAGGGTACATTTTTCATCGCTTTCAAATTGCAATTCTACAAATTACTGTTTTATCAAATGATTGAAATATTAAAGGATTGTCAAAGACATTGAACGTCTAGTGATCGGTGCTCAACCGAAGATTGGCTAACAGCTTGTTTGTTCCACAAGAACCAGAATTATCGATTAATCTTTAAATCAATGTGATATAAGTGCCATTTCGCGATGCTTTTATGTCATGAAATTACGTCACAACAAATTGCGATCTCAATTTGTATGTAAAATAGCGACAGAGGAGAGTAATTAAGATGATAGATTTGGCGGTAAATTTAAACGTGGACAATGGGGAAGGAGTTAAATGGCAACAACCTCGACGTTGGCAAAACCGCCGACTGGATTGACGTTATCGCCTCGGCTAATGTCCCGTATTAAGTGAAATCACGAGATCGTCGTTATTCCGACTATACTTATTTTTCCCCGTATCGAGATTCACCGGCTGCGACGTCGGGAGAGATCCCCGCGGTGCCACTATCGCGTGCAACGAGCTGCCAAGAATCTTTTACCGTAACAAACTAGTTCCTCTGCTCCCAGTTATACGATACCCCCGCTAATGTCGATTACTTTTCCGCGGGGCTGGCTAATACCGTCCGTTCTCGTGGCTTTTGTACAATAAACCGTCACAAGCTTCCATTTACATGGCATTCCGATCCTCTTTCGATTGCACATTTATCCTCCCAGAACATTCTCTAATTGTTTATCGATGCAACATTAATTGCTCCACCGTGACATTAATTGAGATTCATGTGCATTTATTTGTCAATATCAAAATCAATATCAGTCGAGTGTAAAATCTACGAGAAAAACATGTTTGAAAACGAGGTTCCTCGTACAATTTTGCGAAATCGCAGATTCTGTCTGATTGAACAACTGGCGACGAGACGATAACTCTTCAAATTGGGTTATCTGCATATTACGTTATATGTACGGTATCAATTCAATTTCAAAAGAGGAGAAAGTCAAATTAACACTGTCATCGTGTCAAGTGCGAAATCAAACAGTCGACGAATCATTATTATTATTATTAGCCGTCAATTACAGTCAATTGGCGCGGCTTTCCAAGCGGAAACGTTTTCCGCGAATCGCCTGGGAACACTTCGTTCGACGCTTGACCTTCGCCACTGACTGAGCTTAACCCTTTGATTGCACAACCGACGTACATATACGTTCCTGTGCATCTGCTAATGTATATTAACCCGCGAAAGTTCAATGATACGCAGCCATACGGTTTAATATCCTGAAAGAATTTATTCCTCGAGCATAACCTAACCTAACCTCGTCGTCAGAATAAAGCGATAAAATTACTTCGGGCTGAATTAATTTTCGTCGTTGAAATTTATTAAATCTGACTGGGTTATAGTTAGCTAGATTAAATTAAGTCGGCTGAAACGAATAGCTCGAGTTAAATGCGGCAGCCATTTCGAGCGTCTGTAAAATAAATGTGACTAGCAACACGTGAAATAAATTAAAGGGAATTTAGTCGGGAGAAGCCGTTGAAGAATCTGGAGGATTCTTTTTTTGCTATCTAACAGCATGTTTCGAAGCGGCAAGAAAGAAATATTGGACACGTGATAAACATTACGCTGTTCCAAGACGCGCGACATTACGTCACTCGAACGTGAAAAAGAAAAAAACGAAACTAGAGCAGAAAGTAAGATGTCGAAGCGATTTCATTAGATTCCTGTCTCCCTAACGGCCGAGTAAAAATAGAAACGAGCTGAAAACAGCTTTATCACTGACATTCCCACGTACGCGAGTGTTCGGGGACCTGTCAAACGACTACCACTCGCTGCCTGAGAATTCGATCACGAATCTGTTTAATCGATTTTCCATCTCGATCGTTTCCGAACGTTGCTACTAAAATCAAAAAGATTAATCGTCTTTGGTATTTTAATCACGCTTCAGATTGCTATTATACGATCGGGATGAGATGGCATAAAACGAAAATGAAAGGGATATTTTCTGTCGCCTTAGATCTGATTCGATTTTATTCTCCGGAGTTCTTAAACTTTCGTATTTTCCGAATGGGCAAATAAATCGGTTGTAAATTAATTGCCTGATGGTCGTGCGAGGAGAATAAATTCCCTTAATCCCCATAAAAGAAAAAAGGAAAAGATAAATACAGCATCCCGATTATCCTCGAATTCCAAGCATAACGCGGCCTATCTTCGATCACACGGTACGAAAATTACTGTCTCGTGGCCATCGATATCCCTCGGTGATCACAGATTGGCCCCGTTGAACGTTTCACGCTTCACGGATGTTCGATAACTCGATACTCACCCAAGAGGTGGTACTGATTGCAGAGTGTTGTCCAGATCCTGGGTCGAGCTGGTGGTGTAACGTTGTCCCGTTGCCGAGATTCCTCGGGGAACGATCAGCAGCAACCACGTCGCGAGAAACAACACTTGGTTCGGCATTTTCACGGCCAGCAACATCGATTCAAGCGACAAACTGTTCGAACACGATCCGTCTAGTTATTCGTTGGCTCGTGTCACACTCATGGTACTAGATCACTATTCGAACACTGAGGGACTCGAACGATTCAACGGTGCTTCGCGATCGACACCACGATCGGATCCTCGATCATGGTTCTTGATCGAACGGCCGATGGGTAATCTGACACGCGAGGAATTCTGCTGCGGGAGAAGAGCTCTTCTTCTGCTTTAGGGAGACTTTTACAGGGGTTGACCGATGCTTCGTTCACGATTTTTTTACGAGTCTCCTCTAATATTTAAGTCATTCTGTAAATAATCCCGTGTTTAAATGAACATTATAGATTGTGTTAATTAATTCTATTTAAGAACCGTAATAAAACTTTCGGAACACCATGGCAGCAAGAATTTTGCCACGTCAAGCCGAGAGACAACGGGTGATAATTGTCGCGATTCAGTGCTGGCTATGACGCCTTTCCGGAAGCGCCAAATTAGTACGATGAGATAGATGGAACTATCTTCTGATATAAATATTCACAATAGCTGCTCCTCCGACGGAGACCAGTCAGGAACTACGAAATTAAATTTCAAGTCGTTTATTATTAGAAACTATTTATCTTGAAACCCTACAAAATCTATCAAAACTTCTAATATCTACTTTTAAATATTTCGGAATCTTTGTACAAAGATACGAAAAGAAAAATGATTGGTACGTCGAAAATTCGCAACACGACGCTACACACTTCGCTTCTCGTTATCATAACGCAAAAGCAAACCGAGCAGAGGCTATCACTAAAGTTCCATAATGTGAGCATGCTCGTTCAAAACTCGTATAAAAACCAACCATGTTTGCACGTTTTGCTGCAACGATTTTCCACGAGATCTATTTACGAACAAAAAGGAGAAATCTACTTGCCGTATTTGCGAGAGGAAAATAAATGAGCTGTGTATAATTAACTACACAGAGTTCTCAATTAATTAACTTGTTTTGACAACTTCGGTAATTAGCTTATTATTGTATCCTCGAAAGCGAAATTTCTCTACGAAGTTTCCCTAATTTATTAAAAATTATGTAAGTCCGAAATTTTTAAATTTGTAAAATTCACTTGGTTGTGTAGGATATTGACACAGCTACATATGGTACACCCCATAAAAGGCAAAGAGTTTTAATTATAACAAAAAGTTGATATAAAGTCGAATGTACAGAGAGTTAAAATGACAGTAACAAAAGTGTATACCACCCCAACGAAGCATCGACACCCTTCAAGACCCCATCGCAAATTACTCCATATATAATCATCCATACCTGTCAACGAAGGTAACATCACTCCACCATGAACCCCCATACGATTCTACCAAACACACCGAACCTCATTCATGTAAACTCCCAAGTCACCATGCACCCTCCCACTCGAACTCTTCCCTCGATAAATTAAAAAGATCGAACTGCACGATTACATATAGCCCTCGAAGAAGACCTCCTCCTAAAGTTTTCGGAAACACTACGGTGTCGAAGGGCAAGAGGGAACGAGCCCCGAAAAGATGCGCCTACGGGACTCGACGCGAGACTGGAGCAGCAGATTGTGGACGAGCCGCTCCGAAAGAGAGCTCATCTGGAGAGAAGAGGCTCTCTCTTCTCTCGTCTTCCCGTCTCTCCTTCCCTCGTTCTTCCCTCCCTTCTTTTCCAGACCGTTTGCTCGCGGCCGCGTCCAGCTGACGAGCAAGAACGCCGCGCCAGAAGAAGAGCATGGATGGTCCCACCCCTTCCTTTTTCTCTTCTTCAACGCTGTCAACACGCTGCGCGTGTGTGGGACGCGTGTTGAGGCACGCGTGATGACCAGCTTCGGATACTTGCATGGATATCGATGGAAAATCGAACATTTTTAGTGTAGAACTCATTTGTGCAGGGGGGAGGTGCAAAATCTCACCGTACAAGTCACCATACAGATTAGTGAATCTGAACACTTCTAAGTGTAAATACATGCAAGTCGACTCGAAAATGTTTCTTCAGAAATCTCTCGGAACGTAAAATAAAATTAAAATAAAATTTGTAAATCTGAAAGCAAAACGACCCACTCGTGAACTTATCACGCAGCATGTTTCATTCTCTGCGTCCATAAAGAGGACATGCATTGTGCTACAAAATGCATATCACTCCGGAGTATTCCACACATCATTAGCGTGAAGAAGGGGGGACTATGAGTCTTTGTAACACCATTAAGTCATTGTAACACGAAGGAAAAAGGAAGATACGATATGATTAACGAAATAATGCAACGCATTCGCGTTCTTTATATACTTTGTATTCGACTCGTGTGTTCACCACTGAAAATACATTCATAAAAATATAAACATGGAGGGCGTTTCAATTAATGAAACTTTCGTAACAATGTGTAACCGAGCGTTATCGAACAAGGCTGAAGATTGAGAAACGCCAACGACATTGGCCTCTGTTCTGGACTAATAAGCATCACTTCCGCTCGGTTCGATTAAAAATGGCTATTGTCAGTTGATGACTCGCTGCCGATATCGATGCATTCTTAAGCGAAAGAATCTGATGAACTAAAATATTTGAAAATTTTATCAAATTTAAACATTTACTTAGCACTTAGCAACGGAACTTAGTAGATGCGTCATCAATGAAGTTATACGCGTAATTTCATTACATAATTCCATTCGCGCAGAATGATTTTCAGAGTCTTCCTTTTGTTGCTCGAAGTCATACATGCGGGTGGCAACGATAACAGATGCGGAGCAATGCGAGTCTCCTTGACACGTTAACTTCAGTACCAAGTATCATTTCCTTGTTTTCGCGACCCTGTTTGTCCGCAATTATTCTTGGCAAAAAATCGCGATATCAGAGATGAAGTTCGAAACGCACAAAGATTAAGCAAGAATTACATAAATTACCCTTCTGAAAATTACTAAAACATCATCATCGAAATCGTCGAAACCGAAAAACAATACTTTATTATCGATATAAAGAGCGTAAAAATTGCCGTGTGAATTGTGTTCGTAATTAAAAGAGTGATTTATGAGAGGCGTGTACGTGACTGAAGGCGATCCAGGAGGGAAAGAATAGAACAGAGATGGCACAAAGGTAACGGGGACGCATAAATCGTGTCGGAGGTATTGTCCACGGTCGAAAAATGTCCGATAAATGTCTCGTAAAACGCGATTTTCCGTAACATTTCGCGACGACGAAAATTGTCGGCCGTTTCAAACGCGCGCCGCGGGTTCCGAGGGAAATCGACGGATGATTAACGGCGTTTGACCTGTTTTCTTTTTCATCGGTGGCGGTAGTAAAACGAGATACGAGCCACGGAACGAGTATAGGGAAGTTTTATTGCGGCGGCTTCATTTGCCGCGAGTTGTATTTTATATAGCTGCTCTGAGGTATTTCACGAAAATCCAAACTCGTTCGTTCGACAAACCTATTCCGATTTTCATAAAATAGCTCGTAATAATTACGGGTTCCAATTTTATTTCCTGCGATCCATTTGAAACTGAAAGTTGCATCCTCCAGGAGCCTTTCGTATAAATCGCAAAAGTATTCAGCCTCGAAAGAAGCTGCTGATTCGACGAATGACAGGAAATACGGGATTTTAAACTGAAAGTCACGATGATGCGGGGTAATCTACACGCGAATTCTATTTCTACATCGCGCATCGCGTATAACATTCTCGATAAACGCGATAACGTCGAGTTATTAATTATAGCCCTTTACAAAAGTGAAACACGTGAATACACTATGTCGAAAGTTACGAACATCGTTACTGACCCATTCATCAATTCTTTCCGCCAGCAGGCTGACAACAAAATCTCGCATCTCCCTCGATGATCGCAGAAAAATCCCCCGAGGAAACTAATAATCAGCGAGCACGAAAAACGCGCAAAAACCGGAGTGAAAAGCAGGCAAAAAGATCGACATCCATTACGCGAAGGATAAAATCGAGCTGTTCACCGTCGCGTCGCTCGTTCGCGCTGTTACCCGTTCTTGCGCTTAACCTAGACCTCTTCCACAGCTTCGCCGGTAGTTTTGTAATAATCTTGCTAGACGACGAGGACTGGTCCCCGGTGAAAAATGAACGGAACGGATCGGCGTACTTTTCTCTTGCCGTGCCGAGCGAATAGACGCGCATTAACACGTTCAGCTCTAACGACGCATCGGGTGCGTCCACCGCGTATCTACTCGATCGACTTAATCCAAATTGTCGAATACAAGAATAATAGCAAAACCATCAGCATCAATAATGCTAATCACCTTGCAAGTCGTTAACAAAAAACAGTCACAAACTTCTGTACTAAAAATATGCCCTGATCACCGATCTAGATAACGGCTGAAGAATCGGTTTCGCTTAAAAGCTCCATTACATCATCGATCGCTATCGACTAATGCGATATTTCGCTGGTAGAGTGGCTTTCTTAGCTGCAGAAGCTCGAGGAATCTATTCGAGGAATGTCGCTGTACCGGAATACGCGCCACGATTATTAAGGACAAGGTTCATGCGGTAATTAGAGATGCTTTTTGCCAACTGTTACGATAAACGTGATGTATGTACTCGTTGGCGAATATTTCAGCGTATTTTTTAGACGCGAAAACATTGAGGTGAAATAGCTAGCTTCGAGAACGCGATTTGTAACTTAAGGGTGTCTGTTCTCCGAGTAGATGAATTCTTTGGTCAAGCTTTTTAATTAGTAACAAGGAAACATTGTACAGTTAGAACCTATGTTCATTAAAAGTTAACTTATACCTAAGTTACAAAGATAACCTAATTCTTCTTAGACTTCTTGCTCTTTCGACTGCTAGCCTTTTTGCTAACCGGAGCACTCGCAGCCTTCTTACTCCTAACATAAGCGTCTCTGGCTTCGTGCGCCTCCTCCGACTCTATTCTGTTCCTCCAAAACTGGTCCTTGTATCTGCTGAAGAAGGTTCTGTACCTGTCTTTTTGCGCCCTCAACAACGTCTGCATATCTTCCATAAAGTGCATGTGGTCTTCACTAGCATAAAAGATATTCAGCGCCCGACTGTTTCTCAGCGTTTCTTCGTCCTGTTCGGTCTTGATCCATAACGTGTCCTCCTCGTCTTCTCGCACCTCGTAGATGGTCAAATCTAGCGCAGGAAGTCTTTGAAGAAACGAAGGAGGTGTCAAGGATCTTGGCTCTGTATCGAGCATCGAAATTTCTGAAGCCTCCACGAAGGACGATCGATGAGATTTGGTTATGGATTTCTCAGACATGATCGAAGATTTTCTTCTCAAAGTTGTTTGCGAGTGTGCGGATGACAGTATTTGGTACTTCTTCAGGAAGGCTTCTCTGAGCTTCTTGCCTCGGGCTAGGCTGTCGGGGTTCTCTTTGGCCCAGGCTTCCTTCATTTGCGCTATTTCTTCCTCTTTCGTTCTGTCTTGCGATATCTGAGGAGTATTATTGTTAGTAGCTTAGATATTTTACCTTTGAAGGGAGTATTATTATAATTCTTACCTCCAGACCGCCATCGACGTCGGTGACCACTTGTAGCACCCAAAATGGTGGCTCAGGAGCTTGATCCTCGACCACTGACTTGGATCCTCTCTTCCCTTTCGGGGCTTCAGACTTCGTCTTGAACACGTGCGACACGGACGATAATTTCGATCTAATATCAGACATAATCGTGCCTTCTCTAATCTCCATTACGACGATCCACTCCGTCTTCGTCAGAGGCCAGCTGTCATCGAGCACAGTAGCCTGCGCATGATAAGTTCTATAATCCATCGATTCTCTACTTTCGCTTTCCATCGATTCCTTATCGTGTTCATTTGCAAACTTTTTATTCTCATTACTCCTCTGACTGAATTCTTCTTCGAGTCCCAGGTACACCATAGGCAGTATCACCACGGAGGTACTCGTCACCTTGGCCACCACGTTCTTCTGATCGTCTGTCACGGAGAATTTCATTCTCACGTGTTCGTAGGACGTTTTCAGTCTAAACGACACGATACCGGGTTTTGCTACTCGAACGATCAACTTCGAGATGTCGTTTTGCGAGTTAGGTATGTAAGTGCTGGAAAACTCTTCGACCATCAGGGCAGGTGGCACAGTGGCCAACGACAACGGGTTCCCCGTGTCTATAGAGTAGAAAACAGGTTGTTGTTTCACGGTGACGACGTTCAAGGTCCAAGGTAATTCTCTGACTGCCGATTCCTTGCTCCAGCCGTAACAAAGTATCGTGTAACCCAGCCTGGAGTACTGGTAGCTCGTGGACACCACGTTATTCACCACTCGCAGCATTTCTCGACCCGTGTCGTTGTTGAACACCCGCACACAGTACCTGGGTACATCGACGAACGTGTCGATCGCTGCTAGAACGGTTTCCGTGGCTCGGCAATTCACCACGAGCCTCATGATGGGTAACCAGTGGTTTGGTTTCACGTTCATCAGGGTCCCTCTGACCTCCTGCACCTGCAGCGTGTGCTCGCAGTCCTCGGAGAAGGGATAAACGTCGGCCAGTTTATCGTGATGCTTTAATATGTTCCTCAGCAATTGATTGGCTAGGGATTCTCGTTTATTGTAATTGAACAACTCCACGACTTTGAACAGGTTCTCCAAGACCTTCTGATGATGTTGGTTCTGGGGATTGTGAATTTGTTTGTATTTCCTAATGATCAGCATCTTGAAGAACGATTGAATAGTGGTCGCAGCTTGCTCCTGTTCGAATTTCTCTTTGTTTTTGTCATTCTCAACCGGGTCTTTCGACTCGTTTAGGTCTTGAAAACTGTCCAGTAACCTTGAAATCAAGTTGAAACGTTCCAAACCTATGACAGGGTTCAGGAAGAATATCCTCAGGGAGCGGAGCACATCTGGAATCTCTTCTTCGCGTAGGCTCTTTCTTATTAATTGCACCTTCTCGTCCATGAAATAGTCGTGCATGTGATCGTAGAACACTTTGCTTCTCTCTTCAGAACTGCGGTCAGGTGGCAAGTAGCTGTCATAGTAAGCCTTCAAGGCTTCCGGATATTTTTCCGTGCCGAACGATTGATAAGCGTTGCTGATACAGTTGCTGATGTGTTTCGTCAAATGATCGATCCTCTGAGACTCGGTGGACATCAGTTGGTACATCTTCCTTCTGTCTCCGACGTGAAACAGGGTGTCTGAAGAGACTGTTACGAAACAATTGGATTCCGAGCGACAGTACATTCGCAACAGGTGTCTTCCGGGTTTCAGTTCCATCACCACTGACCTGGTTCCAGCGGTCAACATGGACACCAGACAATTTGATTTCTTCGGTCTGCGAAACCAGTTATGTTTCTCTACGATCAAATAATCCATACCCCCCGTTTGCATATTCGTAGAATTCTGATTATCATTCTCCTCCAAAGAGTTTATCAGAACTTGAAACGTGGAGAAGTTGATGAGGAAGAACTTCTCTTCGAGAGAATCTGTTAACACGTACAGAGGATCGTTTCTGGTTTTCAACATTTTCTGAGGCCAGGAGTACGTGTTCTCGAATTCAGGATCCTTGACGGTAGCTCTTGAAGGAGAACTCTTCCTGCTACTCTTCTTCGTTTCTGCTCTCCTGTCCTCCGATTTCTGATCGCTCGATTGCTTATTCGTAAAGCGATCAGAAAGTTTCATGGTGTATTGAAAGTAATCCAACTTGTAGAAAAAGTGAATGTCTCTAACGTGAGGTTCCATTTTGTTGAAGTCGGCCCAGAAACTAATTTCTTCGGTTTCTACAGAATCTTGTGAGGGTTCATTTATCGTGTTAACAGTTGATTTTCTATTAAGCGTGTTTCTTGAATTCTGTTCTGTGTTTGCGTTGTTGAATTTGTTGATGACGCTCTCCTTGCATTTCTTTAGGGGGCTAACCACTTTCAGGGAACGAATGGGCACGAAGTACTCGGCTGGATCGATTATGCCCTCGGCAATAGCCCATCTGAGCCATCGATACAGCTTCCATCTTGCCAACGGAGGCTTCACCTAATCACACAAACATTTTATTATCAAGATCACATGAATATAATAAATAAAACGATACATCTTTTGGGTCCAACGGTATGTCGCGAGACTGTTCCACATAAACGAAATGACCCCAGCAGGGTGACAGTCCAGGCACATCTTCCAGAGACACTTCCCTCATGTCCTCCAACCCCAAAAATAAAGTCACCGGTTGCGGTTTGCTCAGCACTTTCAATTTTTTAGTTGACCAGTCAGTGTCCTTCGACTTTTTACTTCGAGCTGTGTCCTTGGACTTCTTTGACCGTACCGTCCCCTTCGACTTCTTCTCTTGGTTATTTATCGTGGACGCAACTTCTGCAGAGAGTCAAAATTATTAATGAATGTAAGAGTGAAAAATAAAGTGACCTTGACCTTCTTCTTTGCCTTCCGCCTCCCATTCGAAGTGATCTGCGTACTTCCTCAGGAAGTCCCACTTGTCTTGGGGAGAGAGATACGAAATGTCTATCCGCAAGCAGACCCATCCTAATTCAAATTAAGGGATAATGAATGAATGGTTAATTGAAAGGTACTGTGAAGGGTAAATTTTACCAGTTAAGCAAGTTACAGGATGGAAATCAACTATTTCACGATCTTCTGTCCAAGTTAGAGAGCACAGTTTCAGTAGAGCCTTCGAAAGAAGCATAGGCCATAGTTCGAAATTTTTTGAAGTCCTAGGTAGAAGTGGCACCCCTTCTGCGTTCACTGGTATCATGTCATCTATCACGATTCGACGCCAGCATCCCAGAAAGTACAACCTCACGACGTATTTTCCTTTGAGAAAAGGAGAAAATATCTGACGCTGTCCCAAGATGAAATTATAAAAAATGTAGATCGTGTACCATTAGGATTAACAGTAGGTCGATGTTGCGCCCCTTTGCCAGCTTTGTTCATTGAATACACGTTCATCCAACCACGCCAAGACTGGTACCGCCCATTCCAAATGAAATTGCCGTTCTCGTCACTTATTTCCAATCCATTCCGTCCGCAATGTTCAAGATTTATTAGCGCGGAAACGAACCATCGCGCGAACTGAAAGTTGTTTCTAATTGAACCGCGTTCAATTGCAAACGAATGAGTCTTCTTAATCAACAACTTGTTTGTGGCAATTGTTCTTACGATGAAACACTTACGTTAACTATAGACTTGTTTCATCTAATTACTGATAATTATGTCACATAAAATTTCTGAAAATTTAACGTACTTCGCTGTGCAACAAATGCTTGTTGTTTGTGATGAGGTCTGAGTAGTTTGAGTCAGGGACGAACACCACCAGAGGTTCCTCAATTGACAGACGATTAATTATTAATCTATTAAATTTCATTTGTAATATAAACCTACTGTTAGAGTCGTTAAATCTTTCACCCTAATCCATTCGTGAGGCACCAAAGATGGCGGTAATTGAACGGTCTGTGTATCAACGAACAAATTATCTGTCCCATCTACAAATATCGTATTGCATTATAAAGAACATTCCAAAAGTTTCTCGATTGTTACTTTTAGGAGAGGCCCAGTTTTCTTTGTTCAATGTCGCGTCAGACCATTCTAACCATAAAGGGGAGTCATCGATAAACGTAACACCAAACTCGGACTCTGGTACCTTTTTAGATCTTGTGGACATGATTGAAACTGTCTCCTATCGACAGTCGAAAGGATAAAAAGGATTCTACAGTAATTATATTTGACATATGGAAAAAGTATATATATTTATTGAATCTCTGTATTATACATAACTATATGAAAATGAGATGCGAATCTATGTCAAGAAAAGACTCCATAAAAACATTACAGTTCAAAGAAACTCGTTAGTACCTACTAGTTCGCTAACGGCCGTGCGCCTCGCGTTAAGAAATTAAACGTACATTATATTAATGATATAGAATGTAGTACAAATGTAACGTCTACAAAAAATAGCGTCGTTATATCATCAACTCAGTAACGAATCAATAGTTATCTCGATCTCTTTTGAATAACGGTGATGAGAGATGAAATTGTACGTCAACATGGGATCGAAGTTTAATTCGCTTTGTTACGTTCACATAGTTACACAGGTTTTTCCTTCGATAACAAGAAAAATAATACTACGTTCTTACATTCAGAAGTTACAATTAGCCCTCGCATCTTTCTTTATACGATACTAATAGTGTGTTTCTTCCTTCAACAATATCCCTACAGTTACGTAACTATACGTATAGTCGCTCGATCAGGCTCGGTTTTTATAGTCAGTTTCACAACGAGTTCTCAATTTCAGTATGTATGTACACGTGAATACTGCTACGTGCAATTTAGACTCCTTGAAGTCAATCTTCACGACGTAACAGTTTACGGGACTTCTGGGTCTTTACAATTTTAGAACCTTCAAGATTTATGAAAGGGACTTTCAACTTTGGAATCTTTGCAAATAACTTTGACCGAAAGAAGCCTACATTGCACTCTAATGTACATACATTATAGGTCGATAGAATTGCATTAACTTATTAAGGCAATCGATTCATTAACCATGTTTAGAAGATTTTTGACAGAAGCGTTTTATCGCGTATTTACAGACAAAACAACGCGAAGGATTAACAATAATTTAAGTTACTTATTGGGCAGATACCATTTATAGGGTATAAATATATCATAAAATATTTAGTGGAATGTTGAATGCGTTTCTTGTTGTGTATACACCGTGTTTGTTCTCAACTTCTTTTGGAACACAAAGAGATCAGGTGATACAGTAAATCCACTGTATCAAGTTGTAAGTATCTTGGGAATAAGTTTGCGGATAAGTATCAGGACTTTATAGTATCGGTATTTTCTAGACAGTTAGTTAGGTACTATTGGAATTAGTTACACGAATGATCGATCCAGTCTATCCACAAATACTGCCTTAAACATTCCGTTTACCCAGAATGCGTGAAGTACAACGAAAACTGATTACAACACTGTAATCGATAAAACTGGTAACGTTCGTTGTAAATTATTATAATTGTACATGTTACCGATTCCGTTCAACGTACATTTATCATAACCTACGATAAAGAAGTACACACAGAAATGTACGCAAGTAACAACAATTAACAATTTCATTTGTTAATACTCGTTATCAGAGATTCTAAGGTATCAATTATTTTTGGCACCAATTTTATACTGTCGCAAAAATAATCGATGACTAAATAAATTGTGCAAAACCGGATATGCAAGACATAACGCCAGGATCAATAAATCCTTACCATTCAATTGTTCACGGTACAGTAATTGTTTGAATCCACCGAAGGAGTGCGACTCCCATTCTCAGCCTGGCAGTGTTTATATTTTATATTTGTTCTTGACTGAACATCCTTCATCATAAATTAATCGAAATAATAAAAAATTATCTTCTATTTAATGTCACGAAACACTTCTCGGATAACTTAGGCTCGTATATACAAAATTTGGCACCATGTCTTGAATATTTAAGTGAACGAAAAATTAGAAAAAATTATATCGAAGAAACAGTATTCTACATTTACCACGATGTACCACGATGTACATCGTTATGTTGTACAACGAACAGCGGAGAATCGATACCAGTGGACGGTATGACAGTACCTCGCAATTTTCTTGGAACGTGAATCATGATAATGATTTCATACGCTGTGAGCGGAATGTACAAATCAAACGCGCTTCGTAAATCATCAAAAGAGGCAACTAAAAAATCGCGTGGAAGAATAGCTGCAGAATATCAAGCAGGTTCATTACCATAGGACCTGACACAACTATACATATTAATGTTTTAACAGGTTTTCCCAGGCCCGGAGGCCCTTTGATCTTCCATTCGTCCCGCTTGAAGTCTTTGTATTAAAGAAAACAGATCCTCTTCGGGAACCGTCGAGCCCGCTTGAGTAGTTCCGTTTGATCTTTGGCTGTGCTCCTCCTCAGCGTCGTGTACCGTGGATGCTGCCGGTAAAGGACTTCGTTGATCTTCTAGACGCGAACCCTAAAGAATTCACGTTCTTTGACAAAATCTTATATACATGAATGCAGGTTTATAGGATCTAGGCATATACCTGGCATCTCACTAGCATTTCGATGAAAGAATCATCAGCATCTTGATTAGTGTTTAGGCCTGGTAAGTAAGGCAGTGTCACTCGCTGTTCATCCATTCTCTTGCTCTGCATCCCAGCAATTAAATCTAACAGATCTTCTCCGTCTCTGAGAATACATAAAATAAATTTCAATATAAAATATTAACATACTCCTGAAACTATAACTGCGAATACATACTTTTCGTCAGAATCACATAACTCGGGTGTAATAGTTCTAAACTTCTGATTGCGATTCGTATTAAGTGCACAGCGCTGATCGTCCATTCTACCGGATTGGAAACGAGACAGGAGATCAAAGAAACTGTCTTCTTCTTTTTGAGTAAGCTGTGGGGTTACGTTGTTACTTTTGTCTATCTGAGATTCTGCCTGTTCTTTCAATTTCGTATCCGGTGTAAGCTAAATAAAAATAATAATTGTTAAATGGTTGATCACGTTGTATTAAATAATCAAGTTACCTTAATGAGATCCAAATTATCCATACTCTGTCGTCTAAGTCTATATCTACAAGGTGAAGATATATTAATGTTTGAGCTTGTATTGGTCAAAAGTTTTTGTGCTATGTTCTCTTTATTATTCTCCTGTTGTCCCTTTTCTAGACCTAGGATCTTTTGTAAATCGTCGACGTTCATTTGTGCGGTAGCTTGACCCATCGGATCCTCTAATTCTTTCGAGATATTTAAGTGCAGATTTGCGTAATGCAATGCCTTCTCGTGATTACCCATTGCAGCATATGCATTACCCAAAGACCAACAAGCCCTGCCTTCGCCTACTTGATCTTTAAGTTGTTGCGCTATTTCGAGGTGCCTCAAATGATATTCTACAGCAGTTGGATAGTCTCGAAGAAGAGTATAAGTGTTTCCTAGAGAATAGCATGCTTGTGCTTCTACTTCTCTATCTCCTAATTCTTGTGCAAGGACTAGAGTTCTCCTATGATATAATGGGGTTAATATTTACTTACACAATAATTTATCAGACATAAAAAAAAACCAATGAAGATACACACTTGTAATGTTGTGCAGCTTTTTCGAATTCACCAAGAAATATATGCGAATTGCCTAGATTACTATTTGCCCTTCTTTCAGCAGCTTTGTCACCAAACTCCTTAGCAATCTTTAATCTTTCATTGTGATAATAAATTGCTTGCTGAAAATCTCCCAGAAGATAAAATGTATTCCCTAGATTTCCACATGCTCTGCCTTGAGCAGCAGAATCATTCAATTCCTTCATCAGTTCCAAATTTTCTCTACAAAAAAAATTGTTAATGTTTGTATTTTGATCATGGCCAGTCTTTTAATGCAGAAATATTGATTATTAAATATCCTTACTCATAATAGCGTACAGCTTGTTGCAAGCATTGTCTAACATCCTCAGAAAATTCTCCAGGATCTTGATGACCCACTCTACCTGCTTGTTTCCCTTTGGCATGATAAACGTTTCCTAAGTTGTACAAAGCCCTTCCTTCGCTGAGCTGCATAAGAAAATATCTTCTATGAATAATTGAATAACTTTGAAATGTTCAAATGATTTCATAGTTTTGTGCACACCTTATCTCCCATTTCTCTTGAAATTTCCAAATGTCTTTTACAACAAATCATAGCCTCATCAAACTTCCCCATAACTTTCAAACTATTTCCCAAGTTTCCACTGGATTTAGCTTCTCCCAACTTATCACCCATATTACGTGCAAGACTTAAATCCAACTTATGGTATTGCATTGCTTTCACGTAATCTCCAAGATAAAAATATGCATTTCCTAGTTGGCTATAAATTGCACTTAATATCCTTAAGTCATCTGTGCCTGCTTGAATCGCGGCTTGAAAGAATGCCACACCAGTTTTGCAATCTCCAGCCTTACAAAGGCGCTCGCCCTCCAGTGCCAATTCAAGACACATGTTCCACCTTTCACTATTCTGTTAAACACAAGAAGTTCCTCCATCACATTCTTGGCCACCATCAATTCATATTCTGTATGTTGATGATTTCAAATGCATAAAAATCATGTTGATATTATATAAAAATGAAATCTATCAAAATAATCTGTGTAACATATCAGTAAGTTTGAAAATTTCACAAAAAAAATATACACAGTTGTAATTTATAATGGAAAGAAAATATGTAATAAAAATAATTTCCTGAAAAAGGAGAAGCATTTAAATGCTCGCTGTTACATTAAAACCTGCAACATTTGAAATGCTTCAGCAACGCTGGATAATTCTGTTAATATCATAATGAAATAGTAGAGAAAACAATTACAAAATAATTCATTCATGGTAACAATATGTTTGACTTTAAAAAAATGTGGGAAGCATACTGGAATGATCATGGGAGTGGCTGGATGTGAAAACACAACAAACTGGTTACAGACAAGTATTTATATCAATATTTAAAGCTTGATTAGTTCAAAATAAGTCACATGCTTACAGAAAATAGATATGAGACTAAAGATATATGTGTTAATTAATTAACATATAAACATATATGGTAGGATGAATGAAAAGCGCATATAGTGTTTGATATTCTTTATTTCCACATCAAATGTAATGTTTATTACATACAGAAATGTTGATGAAGTAACATAGAAATAATAATAGGAAATGAATGATTTGCGAATTCAAGTAACGATGATAAAGAGATATGAGTCACACATGGAAAAGCGGAATAATTAGTATGGTTCACTTACTTGCCCTTCGGACGATAAATTTTCCGCGCTCGCACTCAGGGACATCGTGTTGCGTTTCTTTCTTTCCCTTCGCAAATTAACAATCGATCCTCGCTACTTTTACGACCGTAAATAACGCGAGTCTTAAGTGCACGGTTGACGATTATTTGGGTTACGATAATAACTTGACTTGTATGATTTTCTGCGCATCGTGATCAGCGAATTTTTTGTCCGGTAATTTCTTTTCTCACATAATCACCTCCGCGTGCCTTTTTGAGAATAAAACCCGCGTTACTTTTCCCTCCAACCTCACGCTCGCCGCACTTTCTCAATGCAACTGACGGAGAATTTAGCGTCCAAACAAATGGCGCTTGATGCACTCTGCTTGCATAACGTCCAATTGGAATACCCGCGCCGTCTGGCGACAAACCGAAACTCCCTAATGTGACTTTTAACGGGAACGCGTGCCTTTTTGGAGTTCTTGTGTTCCCAGTGTTCGATCGGTGAAACTTGACAGAACATCAAATCAGAAATAATTATGGTTTCGTACATTTAGTTGTTGGTGAAATAGCTCGAAAGTAAATCGAGAAGAGTGAAACGAGCTGTGCTGATCAGAATAAATATTCAATGGTGAAGTGAAGGAAGGAAATAACTCAACTTGGAAAGATTTCTCATTTCGAATGGATACACAACCTCTCTACTGAATGGTTTTCATCTCTTTGATTTTCTTTATCGTTAAATAAGATATTTAAAGTAGTTCTTCCGTGTTCTGATTTACGCACATTCTAGTATATATACGGTATATTAGATTAATAATGAGCGATGGTAAGAAAGTAGGTGAAAATTCCAGTAGTGAGGTTGTTAACCAATTTCGGAGCTGTAGGGATCTTAGCGATATCGTGCCTCTCTATATACCACGCGCACTTTATTTAAAACCAATTGCAAAAATAAATGTGTCCGTTAATCTTCCCCAATTAAAAGTTCCAGGTAAAATTCCCATACACCGTGATTACTTTCTCTTCATCTGTGTCTTTATTTTTCAGAATGTTATGTGTATATATGCAGGGTTGGATTAATCAGTAACAAAATAAGGTTTACACATAGGTCATGGGGGTCTACTTATATCTCTTAAGCATTTGGGTGTATTGAAGGTCTTAAACCAGCCCTGTATCTTTGCTTTTGTTGTTTATTTACTTTTATTAGCTATCGTATCATTGCTCAAACTGTCTAACTTAATCCTTAACCCTTTTAACTTAACCCTTGCGATTAGTATATTTAATATATGCGATGGTATCAATAATAATAACTTTAATTTCTGTAACAGGATATACATGCAGTTTCATTAAATTCTGTGCAAAATTTATAAATATATATAATATTTTTAGCATAGTAGGTTTTACAGAAAATTAACTGCGATATAAACAGGAAAAACAATATCAACATGGGAAGTAATGGAGAAGATACGTGCCCTTATACTACCGGACGAGTTTGCATCTCTGAAGGTAGCGAAGAGTACGCTGGAATTTATCAGGTTGGAAGGAGATTTGCAAGACAGGTGCAGACTCCAACGTGTACTTGCAAGATTGGATTCTCAGCGTTTAAATCTATCAGGATTTCCCAATGTATTGAAAGTCCGGGCAGCAGAGGCGAAGGATGATTTTCCCACAAGACATAGTTGGGATTCTTACTTCAGAGATGCTAAACATATGAATGAATTGAAGCCTGGAGAAAGGCCTGATACCATCCACATAACAGGATTACCTGTTAAGTGGTTCATCGAGGATAGCGGGTCTCTGCCTAGCGAATCTTTGATCAGTAAAATTTTTAAGAAATGGGGAACACTCAGAAGAATCGATGTACCTGCTGCCGATGCCTATAGATCTAGAATGCGTCTTGGCACAAATATTAATAAATTCAGTTATGAGGATGGAATATTTTTTGATGCTTATATTCAGTATGTTGAATATATGGATTTTGTTAGAGCTATGGATGCATTACGTGGGATGAAGCTCCTTAAGAAGGAAGGAGAGAAGGCATTCACAGCTGCCATTAAGGTGTGTTTAATATGTGAGTTTTCTGCATGGATTGGATAGATCATAATGCCACAGTAACTTGTAATTATTATAATAAAAGATATTGTATTACATGTAGATCGATTTTGATAAAACAAAACACATGAGCGATAGCTCTGTTGCTCATAGAGAGTTTGAAAGGAAACGCCTCATAGCTCAGGATACATTGGCAGCAGAACGACTTCGTCGAAAAGAAGAAGCTGAAGAAAAACGTCGTGAAGAACAAAAGTAACTAACATTAAAATGTACTTCATCGAATTGTGAATTTAACGTGCATTACATCGCACGCTTTTATTTCTACAGAAAGAAAGAAGAAGCTGATGCAGCGGCTAAAGAAAACAGACGACGAAAACGAGAAGAGAAGCGAAAGCGTAAAGTTCTGACTAAATTTCGAAAAAAGGAAGAAGATAAAGTGTCTATGAAAATCGCGAGAGAGGGGCAAAAACTGATAAAAGCACAAAGGCAACTTGAAAGTATTCGTTTATTAGATGAATTATTTGATAGGATAAAGGTACAATTCCGCGGTGGTTTGTTATATTATAATCCTGGTACTAAGGACTTAACCTGATCTTCGTATGTTTTGTATTTTAAGATAAAAGTAGAAAACAATGAAATTAAGATTGATGAAGTATCAAGTACGGATGTAAAAAAGGAAGAGAAGAAAAATAACAAAATGGATGGTGTCACAGAAGCATTGAGTTCTGATGAAAATTCGAAGGACGGGAAGAAGGACAAGAAAGCGAAGAAATCGAAGAAGAAGAAGACTAAAAAGGAAAAAAAGAAAAAGGTAGGGCATATTTAAGGGCCAGTAGTTCACTGACTATCATTCTCCCCAAAACATATTGTTCAATCGCATAAATCTCTTTGCACAGAAAAAACGTAAAAAGGGGAAGGATTCCGAAAACTCTGCAAGTCCGAGCGATGATTCAGGTACGGAAGAGCAAGCGAAAAAACTGAAAAGCGTCCTGAAACAGAATGTTGCATATCCATCCTCATCCACAAGTAAGTGACACTAATGATTAAGGTTACCATCAAACCACGAAATGTATATTAACAATTTTTATTTAACTTTTTAGCTGCCACTTCCTTGGAATCTCTTCCTTACCCGCCTCTTTATCCACGATTTCCGCAACCATGGTGTTACGAAGCGGCACTGCCCATGCTTTATCCTAGTCTCCCAAGAGGTATGCCCAGGGGTGGTCGTTTCGCGCGAGGGAGGGGCAGAGGATTTTCATGGCGTAACGCTGGAAATCCTCGCACAGTCCCCACTTTCAACCCCCATTTATACAACGAGCAGTACTACAAGTACTTCGCTCATTTAGTAGGTCAGGATTATCACTCTTTCGACTACAGAAGCTCAAGGTCACGTAGTCGTAAAGGATCATTCAGTAGATCCAGGTCGAGATCAAGATCGAGGTCAAGATCAAAATCCCGGTCTAGGTCCAGATCGAAGTCGGTTTCAAGATCAAGGTCCAGATCGCCCAGCAAATCAAGAACAAAATCGCGAACGAAATCGAGATCCAGGAGCAAGCGACGTAGCAGAAGCAAAAGCAGGTCGCGATCGAGAAGAAGACGAGATAGATCGAAGTCGAGGTCCAGGTCCTCTTCGAGGGTGAGATCTCGATCGCGTCGATCGAGGTCCAAGAGGAAATCGCGTTCCAGGAGTCGATCTAAGACAAGAAATAACACTAGGAGCCGCTACAGACGCAGAAGGGAGAGATCAGTGTCGAAGGTGAAAATCACCAGGGCTAAATCTCGCACCACGTCGCCCAAGAGAAGATCTCGCAGCAGCACCTGGTCCATGCCAAAATCTCCTGGCAGAAGGAGCTGTTCCTGGTCCAAAGGCGCCGACAGGGAACAGGGGAAGACACCGAAGGTGATCGAAGAGATAGCCGAGAACACGGAAGCACCACAAATATCTCACTTAGAAAACATAACTTCTGACTGACAAGAACTGACGACAATTTTTTCCTTTTTATGTCTTTGATCCTATTGTAAGAGTCTGTACAAAGCCTATAACTACTCGTGTATATTAGCGCCTGTAGCATTTATTTGATACAAAAGGATATATTTTTGTTTAAAAGACAGTTCTTCCTCGTTTTAAACGACTCGGTTTAGTTAAACCTAACAGTATGTGGACAGTTCTATGGACACCATTGATCTCCGAAGCTCTTCGCATAAGTTATCTGATTTTGTATATACGTTACGAAGTATATGATCAAAAGAATCAACATTGAATAAATCAGACATTTTGCTAACAAAGGCGGCTGCACATAGTGGTACAACTATTTTGTTAAATTGTTTATTGACCCAAATATATATGTACATAATGAACGTCCATTTTATTATTTGGCATGAGTGATCCTACATATTTGCGGTCTTGGAAATTAGGAAGTTTATTTGGGAATTCAGAGTAAAAAGACTCGGATCCGACTTGCAAATTTTATTTGTTTTCGGCATGAAAATGCATTGGTTCATAAACATCGTTAGTCATTATACCCCTATCCCTTCGTAAGGTTCGAAGATCGTTTTTTAATTCTTTCTTTTTAGCAGCGCTTCTCGGAGATACGCTACGATTAGAGATTTACTTATCGACTGGTGCTTCGCTTGATATTAATTCGCCTATGATTAACAAGGATCGAAATTCATCGGATCACCTCTTTTTTTACTTTATGTTAGTGCCATGATTAGCACCGCCTCTGTTTACTCGACGTTCTTTTTCTCAAACATGCTTGTTTTTCTCTTTAAAAATATGTTCTACATTTTTTGCTCTTTCATTCTCATCGCTGTAATTAATTATGCACATACAGGGTGAGTCAATAGGAACTTTTCTTGAAAATAATTTGTCATTTTTAAAGAGATATTTAAACAATTCATTATCTTGGATATCTCAAGAAAACAATACGTTTCTGTTCGATTAACTTTATGTATTTTATTTAAAAAATCAACGAATCTTTCTGTTCTTATTGACTCATATTGTGTATACATATCATATTATTTATAACAAACCACGCGAATATTTTATTTGCATTCAAGATCGATTCACGAAGATTTTTATAATTCGTTCCACAAGTAATTCCAATTTTTCCAATCTCCACTTAACATCGCTTTCACGCTCACGCTGATTTATCAATTATCTTCCATTTTTTAATTTCATTTTAAATCGTAACTACCGCTACGGTATCCTCGGAATTGATTAGATATTGACTACTTTCAAGATTCGTTGCGTGGGAATTGTTTCATTTATTTATTTATTTTTTTTTGTTTCTCCTCTTAAGATTTAATCGTCGCGCGACGATAGCGTTCGCAACGCTCGCGACATTCGCGATCACATCGCGAATTTTCCGAGGGCAGGAACGAGATCTAGCTGGTAACGAGATTACAAACAGTTTTCTTAGTTTTTTGGTCTTGCTTGACCGGCGACGAGTAGCTTCGCGTTCAACGAACGCTATCGTCTGCGTTCATTGGATCGGTAACTGGAGGAACGAATTCCTTTCTTTATTTTTATAAATTCTCTATTGAAAAGAGTGAATTTCCAGAAACATTCAATTGGTTTCGATTAGTTCAATCGACATATTTAAGCTTGGCTGTCACAGCCGATAAATCGTATTCAACTTTATATTAACGTAACATTATTGATACAAATATTCGATTTCAGTATTTGTTATACAGTTTGGCAACAAAAGTTCGGAGTAAAAATTGGTAGAATTCGTTCGTTCCTCGCAGTGACCAATGCAATTCTCCTCGAAATCGCTCTGTATCATTCGCACGCTCACAGAGGTACCACCATATCGTATATATCGATCTTTTTTCATTCGTCACGGTTTACACTCTAATAGTGAATCGTCCATTTTCCAATGGTAAAGCCTCTAAAGTTTACTCAGTCGTTGATACTAGTACAAAAAAAGAGAAACAGTCCCGTGAGATACAAGGGAGAATGAAATGCGGGGCAAACAAGTTCGAACGAAACAGCTTAAATTTGTAGAGTATAGCTGCGCGATCGATTAAGCTTAATCCTTTGACTGTTTTCGACAAAAATTCCTCGCATTTGACAGTCTGATGGCTAATTTCACGACTCGTTAGAAACTTCATTTTTATACGCGCTGTAAATGAAAACAGTCGAAGGATTAATTCTCCAACGCGATGAACGATATCATATTTGGCTACGAGGTTTACTGGCCCTTTCGAATATACTATTTACTATTACCTCTCTATTAAAAAGTTGTTATCTAGTTCTCGATTTGTCATTTTCTTTACAATCGTCGTTTTCGGTGTGTGTATGCATGTGTTTTCTTATAATAATTATGGAACAGTTCAATAGAAAATTAGCGAAGATACAAATTTCTCTGGGTTCCTTTGAAAGTCGACAGCGTCGAGCGTTTTGGGAAATGAACGACCCATAAATACAATTTTTATTCACGTTGAGCAAGCATCACATGCTTTTTCATCATCGCCAGACGGTGTTCGATATCATTGAAGTGCTAACGCGACACCCTGTGGGCTATTCTTTCGTAATCTACACCTCTTTTAGACGGGCTGTTACACTGGGACACGCGGAAGCTGCAGCCTGCTTCGAGGAATCAAAAGGATCAAATTTTTTAGGTTGGTATTTTGCTTACACTTCGACACTTTTAGCTTCATAAATTAAAATTGATAAATTTAGTTCTAAATTTTGCAATAACTTATTCGTGTTTCTGTTACCAGGGCCATATAGCGAGACTCCACCACCTACATTCAACTTTAATGGTGAGTAAATATTTGAAATTATTTCCCCTTTTCATAAACGGAGTTTATTTCGTAAGTTCGCGAAGTTCAATACACGACTCGGTAATATTTATCTCGCGTTAAAGTACGAAACGTTGCAATTTGCATAGTAATCGCGATCAACTTCCGGTAAAATAGCGTCACTAGTTCCGATTGAATTTACAACTGCAGTAAAAGTAGTTCGCTTACTTCTAGCGAGATTCCGCGCTGTTTGCGAACGAAACTCCGAACTTACATAATCAGGCTTTACAATTGCAACGTCAACAACTTGCGAGCAATTGTACGAGTAACGCTGATTGGTTGTCGATCGAAGTATCGACGGTTTTCGAAACGCGCGTTTCTCGATGACGCTTATTTCATGATATTTCAATATTTATTAAAGGATGCAATTTTCGAGAGTATCAAGTATTGTTTATTTTAGCGAATTTCCTTTCGCAGAATTACACTTTTGAAATCGCAATTACAGCTTTCGTGATAAATGTAAATATTACAAAATAATTTCGTACTAAATCTGGTTTGAGAATTTTTTTAGATTACAGAATCTTAAAGGCGATGATCGAGAAAGTTAATACGAAATTTCGATTTCAATTAATTTGCATTAACGGTCAGAGGGTGTGCCTCATTTGCATCGAGTGTCGTCGAAACAGGAATTATTACAATTTATTGGATCTGCCGTTAATTTGTTGGATTCTAATGTAAATCGATTCGTTGTAGACAATTGAGCGAGAGTATAAATCACTTTTATCGTCCTAAAAATTAAACGTTTCACAATTTAAGATAGACATTGAGTTTTTAATTAGACTTTTGTATATTCATTATGAAATAAAAGGAACAATTTCAGTGATACGAGTCAATCATTTGTCAGACTATTACTGTAAAACGTCTTTTAATTTCCGAACTTTGTACAATTTTGAAACAATATTCATTGATGAGAATAATAAAGAAATAAGCATTGAATGATTCGTCGTCGCTGCAACTTCCGTGTCTCCGTAATTTCAAAATTCACTAAGAGAAAGATAGATAGATAGAGAGAAAGAGATAGCTCGTTAAAAAAGACTGTTTTTCTTCCCCCTTAAACACGTGGTCGACTAGATCATCCTATATAGATTAATAGGTAGTACGTTACTTTAGTAATTTTCTTGGTCATTTTACGTAACAAGTTACACGGCGACAGCCCGCTAGGTAAATATTGGTAAAGATCTTAATAAAGTGTCTGAGAGTTAAAACCGTTTAAACGCCTACCGTTATTCGTAATAATAGGTAATGAGATGATCGTAAGTAATAATTCGCAATGATAATAATAATAATCGTTCGTAATAATAACAACAATAATAAACGATTAATACGTGGCAATAACGTGGTAACGCTCGTATAAATCGCGCGGTTATATCTACCGGCGTTCTAATCGACTCTTTTCTTCTTCTTTGTTGCCGTTTCTCGCGATCGATCGGATCTTTGCCATCTTTCTCCGATTTTCGCGAAAATACTCGATCTGTCAGCCCTTCGTACGGAAACAGGAAGGAAGAAAGTATACGAGAGTCAACGTGTCTCTATGCTTATGTACAAAGATAGGTGGATTTAGCCTACGCGTTTCGGTTACGAGACTCGCGCTGATAACGCGCCTTATCTTTTCGATTCTTTTTAAACGTCACCTTCTTGCCGGAAGGCTGTCCATTGTTGCCCTGCAACCCTAAGCGATAGTTTTCACGCTTCGACAAGGAATCCGCTCCGTTGTGGGTTAGGGTTGAAGCAACGCTAACAGGCTCGTTCGAAACGCGGTCGCACGCTCATCGATTCAAACACAGTACAAATGTTTCCTGCTAACTGATATTAGGTCTTTTTAAATTCTTCGATATTCGAAAGGATAGAAGGCTTCGTAATTTAGAAATTTACAAAAGGATTACAAAATGAACATCCAAGTTTTCGGCAGCTCTCGAACAGAAAATATCCGATAACTTTGGTGACCTGTTGATCGCCGGGAAGTTTGTTCATCTTCTGAAACATCCTGTATCCTGTTGCTCGATCGGGTAAAGGGGTCTGACTATTCCTGCAAAACATTTGCACTGCCATCATCGTGAACGGGCAAACTGAACGTCAAATGACCATTATTAACATTGTACATGAGAACGTTACGCAACAAAGGGGGAGTAGCACTCCCATTCTCAACAGCAGGGCGGCCGACCACGCCGTTGTTCCTGTGTTTTCGAACCCATCGAGCGTACAAAATACCTATGTACACATATAAAGTACAACATTTAAACACACGCGAAACATTCGACGCGTACGAAAACACGGCGACCGAACCGGCGTGGTTCTAGCTCACCCCTGAACACAAAAGCGCCCCCCTTTGCTTCCTTACAAGAGACGTTGTGTATAAACTCTGCTCGAAACAAAGGCCATAATGCACGCTTCGATATAATATATATATACACTATATACTATAATATCGGGTATATTACATAATATAGTATACACATATGTACAGGTATAAACATACAAATCAATCTCGGCATATTTTTTCGATGGGACAACGTCATTCGCTCATCTATTACTTTCCGTAATGTAGAAAT